CTACCAAAAAAATACGTATATTTCTGCGTGAATATTGTTGAAAAGAACTTAACCAAATACTATCCAATAGAAACCTCGGTTTGAACTGAAAACAATATACATCCAGGTTATTTAAGCTCAATGTTCCAGCTGCAACGAGAGTCATAAATATGATGGATATATCTTCTGAACTTGTCACTAAAAAAAAACATAAGAATATCATTAAATATGTTTTGTATTAAAAACTGTATTTTACAATTGACTACAAAACCTGCACATAACAATGAGGTTTCTTTTTTACATAAGTTCAGATTTCAATGAGGTATCTTTTTTAGGTAAGTTCAGATTTAGCTGATATAATACTTTGGCATATTGTATTGTTATTAAAGCTTCTTATACTTTGTAGGTTTATTTCTATCCATTCGAAAATGTCTTATCATTTGACGTAGCCTCGAATAATATATACATATATATGTATGTGTATATATGCATACATATATACGTATAATTGGCCCATTCGTATTGATATATTCGTACGTATTTTAAATGCCGTCATTTGTTTTGGGGTCTGACAGCCTTGCAGATTTTTTGTATACTTTTGGTTAAATGTCTTCCTGTTGTTACAATTTCGAGCACATTTATTTTAATCGCTCTGAATGCAAATGACATGTTTTTACGGTGCAGCACACACGGCACACGTAACGCCAAGCGATATGACATGCCTAAGAGTATATATGTATACATAAATATGAATATAAATGCTTAACGAATGTATGCCTATTTTTCTGTACTTTTTTTTTTATTAATTTTTTAAGGGTGTTAGGGAAGCTGGTACGTAATTCATACACGTATTCTCAAAATCATCCTGATACTCATACTCATACTCATACTCATACTCATACTCATACTCATACTCATACTCATACTCATACTCATACTCATACTCATACTCATACTCATACTCATACTCATACTCATACTCATACTCATACTCATACTCATACTCATACTCATACTCATACTCATACTCATACTCATACTCGTACTCGTACTCGTACTCGTACTCATACTCATACTCATACTCGTACTCGTACTCATACTCATACTCACACAGCATCTTTATCTCGCTCCCGCTCTCTATCCCATATTTAATGCCCCTCTTTCATGCCTGAGTAGAGGCTGCTTTTCCAGCTGACCAAAATCTGTTCGGTTGTTCAGCGGCAATTAAAATTACACAAAATGAATAATGAAACTGCAGGTATTAATGCAAAAAGAAAAAAATGTGCCATCGTTTCAGATTTATATTTATTGCATTTTGTATTTTTGTGTCGTAGCGAAATGAGCGCAACGTCTTTTAAAATAAGTATATGTTCGTTGAAGCATTTACAAACATGCATATAGAAAACACAACATTATATTGTCGTTAATAGATTGCCCTAGGCAAGACTGACAGACCTGAAGTTACCCTCTAATGTGCTCAAGTAACTGAAGTGTTTTACGAATCATATCAACATTCTGTCTATATCTGTGATATTGTAAGCGTTAACTGTGGCAAAGCATCAGATTGTGGCAACATAGTCGCTGTAACACTCTAGTTATATGATCGTATAGTTGCTAGATTTGTTTTAATTATAGTTCATCCGAAACTTTTATAGAATCGAATTGGCCTTCACCCTGAAACTTGGCCAAAGCAAAAGCCAAAACATTTACGAAGCGCTGATTAAACATGGCGGAAATGCCTGTAATTTGAAATCCCAATTAAGCCCGATTCGCATTATATAGTTGATATTGATGTGGACAGGCGGGACATGCGGTATTAGAAATCAATTTATTGCGCGTTTGCCAACAAGCAGCGGGCCAAACAAGATACAAAAATAACAGAACAGCAAGTGGCAAAGTGTGGCTATACACGAATCGCAGATACCATCTAAGTTGTAATAGCCAATTGAATATGGCTAAGATGGCAAATATTGAATGGTTAAAGTATTGTCGACCCAGATGTAATAAAAGTTTAAATGGGAGTTGTACACATAATTAACGAGCGAGTTGTTTTCATAACATTCCTGCAACACTCAACATTCCTAGATTATAATGCTGGAAAAGATATAGCTAAGTAAAAATATTCTAGAATGGAATATAGTTAAAGACGCATAACAATGCATGTTAAAGGGCTTACAAAAGTTAAGGAGAAGACATCTATTACTGCCCTTGTGTATATGATATGCTCGGCTAACTACAAGATAATTTTCTAGTTTAAAAAAATTGTTTTTTGTATCCTACGGATGCGACTCACAAGCGCAACAACATGGCACGAAAGGAATGCAGGCAAAGTATACAAAATTACAGCAAATACTAAAAATACAAGAGAATATGCATGCAAATATATTATAAATATATATATAGTGTGTGTGTGTGTGTGTGTGTGTGTGTGTGTGTGTGCACATATACGAAACGCGACAAGCAAAACGTTAAAAATAATGGAAAGTCGGCCTGGCTATAAATCGCAAAGATTAAGTACTCGCCGAGGCAGGCGCTACACGTACTTGTACTCGTACTCTTACATGTTGCATTTCTATTTCTAGTTGAACGACACACACACACACACTCCTCTCCGTCCCCGCCCGTCTGGCGCTAGTGCCACACACACCTTTCGCCGCACAGTGTGTGTGTGTGTGTGTGTGTGTGTGTGTTGCCGGCTATAAATGCATTTTGCGGAACCGAAAAGCGTCACCGTCAAGCGTCGCATCGCGTCGCGTCGCTGTCAGCGTCGTGTGGCAGCAAAACAAAAACAAAAATAAATTTTGTTGGGGTTTTGTGTGGCATTTGCTATTTCCTTCCCTTGAGGGGCCGAAGGGGCGGAATGTGACCAAAAACAACGATATCCGAAAGATGCGCAAAAAGCATTTCTTCGAGCAGGTGTACGAATCAATCAGCTTCCAAATTGAGCATTATTTACCATAACATAACCAGGGTCCATATTTTTTTTTTTTTTTTTTTTTTTGGTGTATCTATATTATATCGGGCTTTACATTGATTTGCTTGTGGATTGGCAAAAAATAAAAGAAAACCCTTTCGAACGTTTCGAATATTCAAGAATATTGTTGTTTGACAACAGCATAATTGGATTTATAATAAGATTCGTTTTGGCTCTATTTATTTTTAGAGGATATTATACAGCGTTCAATATTTAAATTCTTGGGCATTTGCACAGCTTTCATTAGGGTTAAGTTTACACGTGCCAGCTAAGTGTCAAAACAGTTGCTTTATTGCTAAAAACAAACACATCTAATTCATATAATTTTGGTTAAAATTGGGAAAATAATGCGGATACTAAACAAAACAAAAAAGCAAAGCACAAGCCAAATATATGCAGAACAGGTGTGAGGTTTTTTTAATAGCAGCTGAGTTTTTCGGTAAAGAATACGGGCTTAGTATATGGTAGAAAGTATAGTGTAGATAATACAATCTATATATATTTATATATACATTATTCAGTCTAGACAGGATTGTTCTGTCCTGCCCAGAAATGGCACTTAAGGGCACCCAAATACATTATATATACATTATACATTAACTAAAGATTACCAAGAACGTAAGGATATATTCGGCATCCCGAAGACTTAATACCCATGTTGACATTCCCCTCCAGCTAAGATCCTACCATTCCGCCAAACTTTCCTATAGCACCTATATGATATAGTGATCCGATGTTGATAACATGTTGCAAATGAGTAGAGAGGATAGTGAAACTTAGAAATGCCGAGTTCGGTTAAGATATTTTGATATACTTTATATTGTCGAAGATATCTCTTTCTATGCGTTAAACATTTCTAGACAAAATTATAATACCCTCTAAAAGGGTTTACAAAATGACATTCCTTTAAGTACACCAATTTGAGTTCGCTCTAGAGATTGCCAGGTGATATCTTCTTCTTCCAATCTTAGATCAGAAAACTATTTATATCTGTTTTATTTTTCAGAGTAGAATGTGAACCATAATAAGCACATCGGTAGGCTTATATATGCAATATTAAAACCTGCTCTGCTGCTTAAAAATCAAGTTTTTGTTAAACTCAAGTCAAATTTTCCCGTGCTTTCTTCAAGTATTTGCACTAATTTCTTGCCGAGAAACATTTCTAATAAACTGACTTAACATATTAGATAATTAAATCTTCTCTGGTGCTTTCTTCAAGCGTATTTTGAGTACAATTTTATAAGTTATCCTATCATATATTAGATAATTAAGTTACGTTGCGCGATTGCAGCTGATCGAAAAAATTTCGTTAAAATTCACTCGAATTCGTGGGTTCATAAATAGTGCTGAAAACTTTTGAAACGATTAACAATTTGACAGCAAGCGCAAAATTTCGAGATCGTTGCTCTTACGTTTGCTCAATAGTTGCCTTTCATATTGTGCTCAATTTGATATTTCTCGGTCTCTCTCTCTCTCTCTGTCTCTCTCTTTCTCTCTCCGTCGCTGTGTGCTGTCAGCTGGTTAGCTTTTACTTTCGCTATGCAAAAACAAAGAAATATGCCGAAGAAGAGGAAGCATATGCCAAATGATTTCAAAACTCATTTTTGATGTTTTTCGAAATTCGAAAACATTTCTCGCGCTCATGTTGGGACATTTAATTTATGACTGTGTTTGTTAGCTGTGTTAATGTGTGTGTTCGAGTGTGTGTGTGTCTGGCATATTTCGAAATCGGAAAGAATATATAGAACTTTGACTGAGAGCGGCAATTTCGAAGACCAGGCAATGCCTGCCGCGCCTGCCTGCTGCTGCTGTTGCTGCTGTTAGTCTGGGGCCTGTTGCTTGGCCAACTCAACACGCACACAGTGACAACAGCAACAGCCACAGCAGCAATATCTACAGGCACAGCAGCAACATCTACAGCCGCAGCCAAAGCAGCAGCATCAATAATATCGAAGTTAGCCCCCAGTCTCTGCAGAATCTTGGGTTCTCTCTTGCTCTGCTGTGCATGTGTGTGTGTGTGTCAATGTGTGTGTATGGTGTGTGTGTGTGTGTGTGTTTGTGTGTGTGCGAGATCAGGAACAGCTCCAATGCCTGAACATTTTTGCGCTGTCTTTTCACATTTCAGTAGTTTCCGTTAATGCGTTCGGCTCGTTGAAAAGTGTCTGTACTTGGGATTTGATTTTTAATTTTTTTATTTTACGTTTCGGTTTAGTTTTCAAAAAGTAACGCGTCGCTGCTCAATAAAGTGTTACAACAACAATTCAAAATAATAAAAAATATTAAATATAAAGAAAAGACAGTTTAAAAAGGGTGCCCATCAAATTCTTGATGCGTGCCCGTGGAAATTCGCCAGACAGGTTAGCAACGACAGCGACAACGACAACTACAACGACAACTACAACAAAGTTGACGACGACAACTCGTGAGCTTACGTCATACAAATTAATATACTAAACGAAACATGGTCTATTTCTATATGCCGCATGTGGGGCCGGAGCTAATATAGATATTTGTCTGCCCGTATCATTTTTAACATATTGCCCGTATCGTTTCAAAGTAATTGCAGAACACTCGAGAAAAAACTTAAAGTTTGGCTTACATTTTGTAAGAGCTTTCAGCTCGTAGCTCTTATTTAAATGCAGAAAAATTGACTTGAAAGAACGTGTTCTTAAGCTTAGATTAGCTAAAGATCGAAGATCGATCAGGCTACAGCTGACTTTAAGTCAGCCGCAGCTTAAAGCTCGCAAAGCTCAGCTAAAGTTCAAATTCAATAGAAACACAAAACTCGCATTAAATTATGTAATGATTAACTTATCTATGATAGTAGTTGAGCTTTAGTAATATTTCAATTTTAATACAATATGTATATTCTTCTTGTTCAATTTCTATTCAAATTCAATTTACAATTAGCCCTTCAATCATTGGCAATTAAAGCCCATTTCGAGATAATTAATGTTGCTCAGTTCTTGGCAACATTATGACAACAATTTTGAAATCTAAAAACAAAAATATTGTATAATTAGACTGAGACGTGGACATTATATATTCGCATACATATTTATATACACATATTTATATATATATATCTGTGTATATTCAAAAATCATGCAAGCGTTAAGCTGTGAACAAATTCAAAGCCGTTGAAATATTTGATTTTGTGACAAAATTCAAGAATTCAAAAAGTTTGTATGCAATTTGCACAGAAAATGCAAATATTGAGAACTTAAGGCAAACATAAACCAATTGATAGCATGGGGTATATAAATATAGATGCTTGTTTCTTTAGTTTATGTAAACAAAACTAACGCAAAATAAACATTAAAAAAAAAAAAAAGATTAATCGTTAAATAAAAAAGAAGATAAAAACAATTGTGTAAAAAGTTGAGTCGATTTTTGTTAAATTTTTTGTTGAGTGCAAAAAGCGAGAGAAAATGCCGCTCTATTCGGATTCGAGCAACTATTATTACAGCGGCGGCAGCAGCCAGCTGTATTCACCATATTATAGCTCCGGCAGCAGCGGCAGCAGCAGCAGCCCCAGCAGCTATACATCCAGCTATAATCGATCCTATACGGGCAGCTATATGGTGCCGCTGCTGCCTTCGCCCCGCTCGCCCAGCTACACCAGCAGCAGCGCCATTAGCAGCATTGGCAGCGGCAGCCCCAGCGGCAGCAGCAGCAGCAGCATCTTGGGCTTATCCTCGCGCTATCAGCCCAAGCTGACCACCATAAAGGAGGTGTCGGCACTGACGGGCCGGCACAGCGGGCACAGTAGCCTCATGCCGCTCACACGCATCCAGTCACCCAAGTACACGTCTGTGTCCAGCTATGGCAGCAACAGCAGCAGTCGCTATATACCGCCGCGACCCATTGCCATTAATACGGCGGATATAGATGTCAGCTCGGCGAGATATAAGCGCTCAGCTGAGTCCGTAGAGCGCAAGCGTGAGACTGAACTGGCCAAAGAACAGCAGCAACAGCAACAGCAGCAGCAGCAACAGCAGCAACAGCAATCAAAGCAGCAGCAGCCAAAGGAAGAGCACCAGCAACGAGAGCAACATCAGCAACGGGAGCAACAGCAGCAACAGGAGCAACAGCAGCAACAGGTAATGCAACCAAGACGGTCGACCATACGCCGGAATCGCGCTGTGGTGCGTCTATCCACCATACGCAGACGCAGTAAGGAGCGCGTTGAGGAGACGCCAGCGCAGATCGAACAACAGCAGGAGCATCAATTTCGGGATCTGCCGCCGGCAGCAGAGCCCAGTCTGAGCTGGCGCCAGAAGTTGGCTGACGAGCTGGCCGCATTTCCCACAGCCAGTAATAAAAAGTCACCCGGCGAGCTGCTGCGCGAACGTTTCTTCATACGCGATGAGAAGCAAGAGACAGCAGCGCCGCGGCAACAACAGCAACAGCAGCAGCTGCAGCAGCCGGCACAAGCGCAGATTCAGCTGCAACAGACGCCTGCGGCAAGCAGCGATGAGGAGTCCGAAGTGGAGCGCGAGCAGGAACAGGAGCAGGAGAAGGTGGAGAAGACCGCCCAGATAACCGAGTCCATACGCCGCTTGAGTCTGGTGCAGTGCCCCACATTTCATGACATTTGCGAGGACATCTCCTCGGACAAGATCGATGATGATTTGAATGCCGGCGAGCTGCGACGTCGCGCCTCTATCATACAGGAACAGGAGCAGGAGCTCCTCAACAAGCTGCAAAAGTCGAGCTCGGGCAGCTTCCAGCTGATACATCTGGAGCGGCGCAGCAGCCATGACAGCACCACAGCGGACGAGGCGCAATCCTCGAATGCCGTCAAGCAGCCCAAGAAGAAGAGCAAGAAGCTGCGCCACAAAATCACCGCCGTTGTGGATGTGGATAATGCATTGGTGGGCCAGCAGCACATGCCCAGCGTCCAAGAACTGGAGGAGGTGGTGGCGCCTGCCAGCAGTCCTAGGCCGAAGTTTACGGCCAATGTGGAGACAATGGAGGAACATCATCAGATACACAAAATCTTTAAGTTGCCCAAGAAAAAGTTGCCGCCGCCCATGGCGCCACAGGAGGTACATGCGCTGCCTGAGGGCTTTATGAAAGCAGCGCCCAAGGCAAAGACATCGCCGCTAAAGAAAGCGCCCAAGTCGAAGGAGCAGCAGCAGCAGGAACAGCATGTGAGCGTTGCCCAAATATTTACCTTCGATGAGGCGTCCATTCAGCAGAGTCAGGCCACAGGCACGCCCACCACAGCCGTGCCCGTCAAGACAGAAGGCGCTGCCACGCCCATAGTCGTACCCGTCAAGACAGAGGGCGTTGCCACGCCCAAACTCATACGCAAGGCCCTGCAAAAGTCGGAAAGCGGCGAGGATTTCTGGTCACAGATCGGCTCCCGGGAGACGCTTTACATGAGCAATCGCAAGAAGGCGCTGGTCGAGCGTCAGCTGGAGGTAACCCCAGAATCAGCTGAGCCGTCGACAAAGGACGCTGCAGCAACAACAACAGCAGCAACATCAACAAAACCTTTGCTTAAGTCAGAAATTGTTATTGCACTGACACCAATTAACGCAGAGGTAGCAACACTGCAGAAAACAACCACAGATAAAGGTCCAACATCAGGCGAAGCAACAGCTAAGGTGGCAGCAGCAGCAGCAACAGCAAAGACAACAACAACATTGGCAGCCACAACAACTACACAAATATCAGCAGCAAAAACAACAGCAACAGTTACTAAAACTGAAGCAACAACAATTGCAGCTGCAATAAGTTCACCCAAATCCACGCCAGCAACACCCAAGCTAGCAACAACAACAGCAGCAGCAACAACAACACAAATACCAGCATCAAAACCAACAGCAGCAATGTCTAAAAATGAAGCAACAACAACTGCAGCTGCAATAAGTTCACCCAAATCCACCCCAGCAACACCCAAGCTAGCAACAACAACAGCAGCATCAACAACAACACAAATACCAGCATCAAAACCAACAGCAACAATAACTAAAACTGCAATAAGTTCACCCAAATCCACCCCAGCAACACCCAAGCTAGCAACAACAACCACAGCAGCAACAGCAAAGTCAACAACAGTAGCAGGAACAACAACTGCAGTTGCAATAAGCCCAACATCAGCAACAGTCACAACTGCAAAATCGGCAGAGGCAGCAATCGAAAACAAAAACGAAGCAGCAATAGGTTCACCAAAATCCACGCCAGCAACATCAAGCTTAACTGCTGCAACAACTGCAGCAGCATTAAAATTATCCGCAAAAACAACAGCGGAAAATGTGGCAACAACTGTTGGAAAAGGAAGCACAGTCAAGCCAGCAGCAACAGTTGCTGCAGTAGCAACACCGTCTGGCAACGCCATCGACGGCGCTGTAACCATGGCAACGGCATTAACAATAACAACAGCAACAGCAGCAGCAGCTGGCAAATCAAAACTGATCGAAATGGCGGCAGCAACAACAATAGCAAAAACAACGGCAGCAACAGCGACAGCAGCGCCAAAAATAAATGCCGGGCAAGCAGCCAAGTCACCTGAACAACAACAGGCAACAGCAGCAGCAACAGCAATGGCTGCGGCAGCGGGAGCAACGAAAATAAATAAAACAACGCATAATAATGATCGACAGCAGCAGCAACCACCAGACAACGCAGCAGCAGCAGCAACAATAGCAACAACAACAACAACAACAGTGAAACAACAAACGGAAACTAAATCGAAATTGACGGAAACCGTTGAGCCAAAGTCAAAGGTGCAATCACCGAAAACGACAAAGCAAAAAAGTGCTGGCAAAACTGCGACGCCAGCAACAGCAGCCAAAAAGAAAGTCGCACCGACTCCCACAGCAGCAGCAGCAACAGCAGCAACAGCATCAACAACAACAACAACAACAACAACAACAGCAACAAGCTCGTTGCCAGACAGCAATGTGACCCCAATCAATGCCGATCAATTTATAACGTTGGCCCCCACTAAGGCGGCCATTGCAGCGGCAGCGGCCAAAACGTTGCCGGCGGCCACAAATGCGTCATCACCGGCAACGACTGCAATTGCAACAGTGGCCGCAGCAGCATCAGCAATTGCAACCACAGCAACGGCGACAACGCCTACAACAGCAACAGCAGCAGCTGCAGCAGCGGCAGCAATAACAATAGCAACAACTGGCGATGAGCAGAAGATTCAGCCACGATCTGTTGCTGCTGTCGACGCGGCCGTTGCTGCTGCTGCTGCTGCTGCTGCTGTCGACAATGAGCGCAGCAACAACAGCTGCGGCGAAGGCGTCGGCAATAATTTATCAAAGTTTGCAACAGTATCGAATTTGGCACAGTGTCTGCGAGACGTTGACGCCGAGCTAGAGGACTATATACCCTCGTCCGCGGAAAATAGCGACGACGACGACGACGACAGTTCAGGCGATTACTCCAGCGCGGACGGTTGTGCGAATTTGAGTGCCAGCATGAAGAAGAAGCAGCGCAAGGAGAAGAAAAAGCAAAAGGCTAAAGAAGCGACGCCCGCACGCTTCGATCCGCAAAAGAAAATCAAAATCGATACTACCAGCAAATGCTATGTGAAAGAGGAGGCGCCACGATATCCGCTGGTGGCCACACCTCGTCCGCTCTGGAAGCGCGAAAAGATTGTCTACTCCGATGAGAATACGGATGATGAGAGCAGCGAGGAGAGCAGCGAGGCAACGGCCGGCTCACTAGATGAGGAGAGCGATGAGGATGACAGCGATGCATGCAGCAGCAGCAACAGTAGCGGCAGCAGTTCCTCCGAATTCGACGAGGAGACGGCAACCACAGCGGCAACCCACGAGAAACGCACAAATGCCGCCAATACAAATACCGCCAACACACTGGCGCCGACGGCCAACAACAGCAACAGCAACAGCTCGGCCAGCGCCTCGGCAACGGCATCGGGCAGCGCATCCGTCTCCAGCTCGCCATCGATCATACGGATGAGCACGTGCAGCAATGATTCCGGCTTCGAGGGCGGCACCGCACCATCCAGTCCCAAAAAGATGCTAGGTAAGCGCCAAATAAAAATCAAAACCAGACAGCCAGACAGATAGACAGACAGACTGCATTCATACCGCATATGGAACATATGGTCGGACGAACGGAAAGAGAGACAAACGGACGGACGTACGGACAGTGGGGTGCAGACAAGCGCCGACGGGTGGTTCCGTTGGCCATTTGAGTTGTGGGCGCACGTGCCTCGCGAAAATATAAATTTCTGTTTGTTATTGTTGTTGTTGAACCCGCGAGCATTCCGGCCATTTACTTAGCAGCTGATCCCCGCTTCCCACACCCAACCCCACGCTCAACCCACCCAGCTTTTTCTTAGATATTGTTGTGCCTAGAATTAGCTTTCATTTTCAATACCCGCAACAAGAGACAAGAGAGAGCAAAAGAGAGAAGAGTAGGGGGAGAGAGAGAGAGAGAGCGCTAGAGAAAGCGAGCGCAAAGCATGCGGAATATTTAGTTGAAAAACAAATAAACATGCTATAAATCTGTGTATCTGCATATACAAAAATGCCTTTTAAATGGCCACATTATACTATATACTTAAAAAAAAGAAAAGAAAACAATGAAAATTTAAAAACAAACTTTTCAATGCTTCGCTTCTTAGAACATTATAACTTTGCGCTAATGAAGTCATGCAAAGTTCCAGGAAATAAAATCGTGTCTATGTATATATATATTTTCTTTGAATTTAGTAGCTTCAAAATCCTTGAAAATCCAAACGAAAAAAAAAAAAAACAATTTCAAATGGTTGTGGAATGTTTTGATTTTCTATGTTTATGTCAGCTCAACAACTCGAATTTGAAATGCAATTTATTAAACTAATCTGGGATGGAGATTTCTTTATTCTATAACTATGTTAGAATTGTAAAAATAATTTCTGTTCAAACATCAATTGGATGAGATTGTGTCAGTTATCTAAAAAGAACAGATTTTCCAATCTGCACAGATAAAAAGCTTAATGATATCTGAGCATGTTTTATGCATTTCCTTATATAATTTGAAAACAATTTTGGGCATTTGATTCTCAGCGAATGTTGAGAATTTACTAGCACGATGTGGAAGAGCGAATAAATGCAGATACAAATGCAGATGCAGATACGAGAACAAACCGCGGAGGCGAGAGAGAAAGACGATTTGGCATTTTACTTTTAGCGAATTGTATACAAAATTGTTTGGGTCAGCGTCGTGTTTGCCTTTGTCTTACGTCTTATTCTTGGGATTTGTCGTCTTTCATCTTATGTTTGGCTGTTTTCCTTTGCTTCAAACTGAAATCTCATGCATGGCAAATAATTTTTGTTTCGCACACAAACATTTGAAATATGTTCAGAGCTTGTTGAAAGAAAAATGTACGGCAAAAAAGAGATTCCCCGTTTCTTCAGTTGTTTAATGCAACAATTACCGAAAGCAAAAGTTTAATAAAATTTCAATTGCTTTTTTGCCCAGAAACACAATAAATTCGAAAAAATGTAAACAAGAGGCTTTCTAAATATTTGCAAATAAAATCCACACATGTATCTATAATATATCTATATATTATATATTATAGATATGTATGTATGTATGCATATACAGATGGATATATACTATAGATATCGAAAGTGTGAAACGAATACGAATTTTAGACTCGACTGACAACGTGGCTATAAAAAGGGTCAATATCTCAAGGGGTTCAATGTTCAGCTATTTAAAAGCTGCTTTTCAGAACTCATCAATAATATTAAAATAATCTTGAGCGAAACAAGAGCTGAGTGCAAAGTGGCTATATGTCAATTTATATGTTCTACCAAACTTTGCTTGGCTTTGTTTAGGGCTTGTCATAAAAATGATGACAAATCGAAGTTGACTTTTCCGATACCTTAAAGTTAACATTTGTATATATCGAACCTCTCTATGCTACAGATCACATTAGAACTGTTGCTAAAATGTTATTCTAACTAAGCCTGCAACATCATATCAAAATCGAATCACTCGAAAGATGAAATAGTATAGTTACCTTATATGATAAAGGGGCATTTAAGGACGTGGTTTTAGGAAATTTCACCCGCAAGTGTACCGAAATCTCGAGAAATGGTTGCATTATATTTGTATAAACGGAAGCTGTTTTTTTAAGCTTTAAGAAAACACAAATTCTAACGAATTTTTAAAAATATTTACGTTTTCATTAAGATAAGATGGAGTTTAAAATAGGGATTGATTTTCAAATCATGAAAGACTTTTCAGATAATTTGGCTTTGTTTAATAATTGGTTAACAACAAGCTTACTTTTTCTTCTTTAATAACAACTAGTTCGCAGTTTATCAAAAAGTTATACTAAATATGATTTAGTTACGTTTGACATTAATCTCAAGTATTTGCCAGATTTTGTTTGTGCACACCTAGCTGCAGGTTAATACATGTACAAAAACTGTCTTCAACTCAAATCAAACACAAAATCAATACGCAATCAATGCTTAAAGTCTTGAGTTTCACATTTTGTGGCGCAAGGAGCACGCGGCGTATGCGTGATATTTGTACAAAATGTTTTCTTGTGTTGGCCACGTTGACTCGTAGCAAGAATATTCGTGTGATTGCATGCAAATATTTGTTGTTTATTAAATTTGCATTAAACGAACAATAAACACTCACACACACACACATACAGAGGCAGCAACACCTTCTATACAGCCTTTGGGAAACGGCCAAAACGGATGTGCGTTTGAATTCAAATGCGATTGAGCGTTGTGTGTGGGTGTGCGTATGCGTAGTGTATGTGTGTGTGTGTGTGTGTGTGTGTGTGTGTATGCGTAGTGTGTGGCATATAGAGTAAGCAATTTGTATACTCGACTTGTTGTTATTTGCGATTTGCTGTTTTTTAATTGTTGGCAAAGCTTTCTATATATGCCAAGTGCGAAAATTGGAGGGAAATGCTTTTCTATATATACACCTGCTGGTGTCGGGGCGAAGGGGTTCGCTTTGGCCAGAAACGTGCAACCAATAAATCGCAGCAGCAATAAACGCCCCCCCCCCCCCCTCGCCCCTCCACACACCCCCTTAATACATATATATATGCATATACATGGTCGCATTTCACAATCATATTAATAACGATTTGTTTTAATTAATCTCAACATTTGTGCTGCCCACGCTGCCAAAAATCGAAAAATCGAAAAATCGAAAAACCAAAAAAAAAAAAGAATGTGACGTGAATTGTCACAAGAAATGCGAACGGCTCACGGCCAATTTATGCGGCGTCAATCAGAAACTCATCGTCGAGGCGCTCAACCACGTAAAACGAGGTAAACGCGGCACAAGAATCGCTGAATTATTAAAAAATAAATACTAAAGTATAAAAAAGCATGTGGCAAGTCTGACTTCGGCAGGCCGAAGATCAAATACCCTTGCAGGCATATCGTTTGGCAGATATCTGAAGAGAATTGGATAGCTCGCTTGAAACTCCAAAACAACACAGTCGAACATAAGAGAATCCATTTTCGATTCGTTCATTCTATAAAGTCCGATGTTGATCAGAATTACCTTATATCAGAATTACCAATAAATGATTTCCATGGCAGCTGTATGATATGTTCTCTCCTCTCTAACTCTCTCTCGCTCGCTCTCTTTCACTCACTATCTCTCTCTCTCTCTCTATTTATATATTTATATAGAGAGATATAGACATAGAGGGAGAAAGATACTGGCTATGTATTACGACTATGTTAACGGCTTATTAAGCCATAAAAAGTGAGAAACTCGAATCCCATTAAGACCTCAACTATATACTTTATGAAGTCGGAGATGTCTGCTTGTTGAGGTTACTTATTGCATGACAAACTCATAATAGCCTCTGCAAGGGTATAAAAACGACGACGACGAAACGGAATCGCTGCGAGCCCCAGCAAAATGGAGGCGCGTGCGTTTCGTTTTTGCCATCAAAACAAAATAAAAAGCAAACAAAAATCAAAAGAAAAGAAAAATCCATAAATAATGGCGCCTAAATATGGCTGACATTACGATTTCATAATTGACTTTGCCAGACTGTGTGTATGTGTGTGTGTGTGTGTGTCTATATGTGTGTGCATAGAGTGTTGAAAGATTGCCAAATTAATAAATAAAAGCGTAAAATATATCAAGTACTTAAACTGATAAACAAATGATTTGCTCCAATGTGGAGATAAGTTATAGAATTTATTTTCATTAAATGAATATCCATTTAATATGTATACTATATTTTATAAAGAAATGCAACAAGAAATGTGCCAGATATATAAAAAATTGCAGTTTCTATATGGGATTCCTGATATTAAGACTTAAGGCTGCAAAGCTGTTTTTAGCTCAACCCGGAAAATCAATTCCCTTCTTACTATGAAATTAAGCTAAATACAAACCAAGTTCCCCAACAAAAAAAAAAAATGAAAAGAGAAAACTGTTCAGTTTTGTAAGCCTGTCCCCAAGGCTTAAACGCCTTGGCTTCGGTACATAGTGTCCATCCAAACATTTTTAGTAAATGTCAATTTTAACTAGATGTCAAATTAAGACACCAATCTAATATATAAATATTTATGTATATTTTCAAGAATATGTAAAACGAAACTAAAAGGCAGAGAGTATTCAGGCAGAGCATTCAAACTATGCAGCATTAATTTTGGTTTTGCAGCCCTTATACAACATAGTTAGTTGGAAATTACAGCAGGCAGTTATTATTAGTCGAAACACACACACACACACACAAGCACACACATTTGCTGGTTAGTCGTTGTGCAAATCGGGCCAATTTGGATGTTTATAAAGCGTAAACTTTGATCTACTCCATAAATTAGGCGCACGTGAGACACGAGACTCGCCCAGCACACCGCCCAGCTGCAATCCTGCCTATAAGATCGAGGCCAACGATGAACACGATGGTACGGCAACTATAGTAATATATATTTTTCCTAATATACAGTATTAGCCCATAAGTCAAGCGCTGCTCAAGTGGCCAACAGGCGAACTGCACACACCCCCAACTTTGGACACAACTACCTCTTTATACTTATGCTACTACCTATATAGCTCTTAATTCTATGTTTGTTGTGATGTCATAACTTTCTTAATATATTCGCCACTTAATGAACTATCTCTGTACCTTTTACACTTACTATCTTTCGCCTTGGATACTTTGGATCGTACAGAAACATCTTATACATATTCACAATTCCAAAAATCTGGACGTTTCACCGCGCCAGCCACAGTAATACCTAGATTTAAGAATTATTCGGTAGATGATTTTCATTTTCTGGCCGTGCTGGGCAAAGGCAGCTTTGGCAAGGTGAGTTCAAGAGAATCGAATCAAAATTGTAGCTCAACTCTTTTATGAAAAATTTCCCTCATGTATTTAGGTACTGCTGGCTGAGCTACGTGATACGACATATTATTATGCCATCAAGTGCCTCAAGAAGGATGTGGTGCTCGAGGACGATGACGTGGACTCCACGCTGATTGAGCGCAAAGTATTGGCCCTGGGCACCAAGCATCCATATCTATGCCATCTATTTTGCACATTTCAAACGGAGGTGAGTTTCTTTAAGACAAGGTCGCCCAGCAAGGTCGATAGCTGGGCCGACCAACTGAGCCGCCCCTTAGCTGTTAATCTATTTAATATAAGATGCTACACTCACGTAGGTAATACCCGCAATGCATCCAATTGATATAAAAATAAACAGCCTAAAGGTAAAACGACCTATTATTAGATCAACACACTCTTGTGTGTGTGTGTGTGTGTGTGCTTCTCTATGCTGACCATCGATTGGGGCACACGACATGGCAAGTGCTCGACCGATCCCCACCGCTCGAGAACCACGTTAATTGGCACGCACGTCCGGCACAGCGTTCGACAATGTTCTCTGAACATTTTGACCAACAAAACAAACAAAAATATATAGAAAAATACAAAAACTAAGAAAACAAATAAAAAAACAAAGAAAACAATAAGTTTTCTTTGCTTGCATTGACACCGATTAGAAGGTATTTTAATTATTTATGACTTTGAGGATACACACGCCCATTGATTTTTGGGGGACTCACGATCCGTTTTTCTCTCTCCACTGCTTGAGCTGATGCTCACCTTTGCTACACTCAGAAAAAATATGCACACCTTTGAGTTAATTAGTTATGAAAATGTAAAAATTAGATGGAATCAACGCCAGAATAACTAACCAAAATAATATTACAATTATGAAAATCAATCTAGAAGAAAGCCAGCAGAATATAATAAATATTTCTGATAAAATCCATTTTGCTTAATTGTATAATAGTTGAATACATTGAAAACCCAATTGGCGACTTTTTATCAAACAAAAATATACTTGCCAATTCAGGCTAAGATTCTCGAGTTCGAATTTCGGTACAATAAAGATTCAGTTTTTTTGGGTAAATAATAAATTAGAACTTCGCCATAAATCGGGTTGCTTCAAGTCCGATTTGCAGCCACAAATCTTTGTTCCATCTACCATAGATCTCCACAAATATCTTTCCCTGTCTCTCTTTCTTTGCAGAGCCACTTGTTCTTTGTGATGGAATATTTAAATGGCGGAGATCTAATGTTTCATATACAGGAGAGTGGTCGATTTTCGGAGGAGCGTGCGCGTTTCTATGGCGCTGAAATTATCTCCGGGCTCAAGTTTCTCCACAAAAAGGGCATTATATATAGGTGAGTCTTCCTCAAAGACTATTAAAAGAAACGAATACAAATAGACCGTTCATATTGCCAAAGGGATCTCAAATTGGATAACGTATTGCTAGACTATGAGGGTCATGTGCGTATTGCCGATTTTGGCATGTGCAAATTGCAAATATATTTGGATAAAACGGCCGATAGTTTTTGCGGCACACCCGATTATATGGCGCCCGAAATTATCAAGGTAATCTATCGATATCGATTGCACGATAACAACAATACAAACAAAAACGATAATCTGCCATTTCGCTTGACAGGGTGAAAAGTACAATCAGAATGTCGATTGGTGGTCCTTTGGTGTGCTGCTCTACGAAATGCTTATCGGTCAATCTCCATTCAGCGGCTGCGATGAGGATGAGCTCTTCTGGTCGATATGCAATGAGATTCCATGGTTTCCCGTCTACATATCAGCCGAGGCAACGGGCATTCTCAAGGGCGTAAGTGGGCGGCTATAATATTATGAAAATTCTACTATGATCTAACTCCTTCTTTAGCTACTGGAAAAGGATTATACGAAACGCATTGGCTCCCAATATAGTCCAGCTGGTGATATAGCAGATCATTTATTCTTCAGGCCCATTGACTGGAATCTGCTCGAGAAGAGGCAAATTGAGCCGCCCTTCAAGCCCCAAGTGGTAATTACCCCCCATACCGATTTGTATATGGATTATATACAACTCTGCTTTTATTTCACAGAAACATCCACTGGATACGCAATATTTCGATCGTGTATTCACCAGAGAACGCGTACGCTTAACGCCCATCGATAAGGAAATACTCGCATCCATGGATCAGAAACAGTTCCATGGCTTCACCTATACAAATCCGCACATCACTTTGGACTAGATACACACGTATATCTCTAGTACATTGATGTGCTCCTTGGGCAATGTGCTGGGCATATACCATATATCATTAGCATATTTCTATAATATATAATATATATATTTATATTATATTTAATCCTAACCCCAAAACCATATCCCAAATTACTTATTAGAGCAACAGTATTTGTATATGTATGTATATATATCTATTATATGATTATATCATTATTTTTTTGTCTAAGTGTATAAAAAGTTTTTTTTTTTCAATTTATGCATTAATATCTCTCGATATGCATATAAATACATTATAATTGAACTAGGCTTACGTAAATGTATCAATGTGCATATTCCTAGTTGAGTAAAGCTGAGCCAAATGTGATTTCAGTGGAACGAACAAAATATATAGACAGGGCAGAAATTTTATCTAGAAGTTTCCGAAATTGATTTAAGAAAAAAAATAACATATTTCGATTCGGAGTTGCTTTTGGCTATTGCAATTACAAAGTTACGAATACGTTTATAATGATAGTCAATTAGTGATAAATAAACATACATATAAGGGCATAACTGTATATACTATATACATATATATATATATATATATATATATATATATATATATATATAAATAAATATATATATATATATATATATATATATATATATATATATATACATATATATATATTTATATGTATCAACTATATATATTTATATACATATCTGTTTACATATTACATAAATATTATAATCAAACTTTTTTTTTTTGACTATAGTTATACAAGCTCTATACCAAAGTCTACGTATGTACTCGTTTGTATATGCCTAATGATAAAATAAAAATGAACAAAAAATATGTGAATATTTCTAGAAGAAAGTGCAATCATCTGAGAAATTTCTCATTCGGTAACCACGAAGTTTGCCGCTAGATCAATTTCGGGACTAAATCTGGCAACATTATTCTTGGTCAAAATTCATATTAAAATGGTACCCTCAAATATCCAATATAGACATAGGTCGAAATTTCTTTTTCGCCTTGGCCTTTTTAGTACTTAAAAATAATTCTTAGAACTATTTTCAAATAGGCAGCAGTAATATTTCTCTCAAGCGTGCTCCGACGACAATAGTAGTGGGAGAGACAGAATATACACTACATTGTTTTTTTAATGTTTTGTCTTGAAGCATTTCTCTCAAAGTATATACAAAATATATATACTTTTTTTTCAAACTTATATGTGGGGTGGGGGATGGATATTTTGTGAAGTTGTTAAAGTCGTAAAGTTCATCCGAACCGGCTTTGTGTGCACTCTGAATGCATTATGTTGATATGTTTACATACATAACATTTACCAATTAATAGTGGGGCGGGCCGTTAGAAATGATAATTATAATGTTAATGGTAATGGAAATGGAAATGGACGTCAGCATCGCCGGCCATCGAGAGTGTTGGCCTTTCGGCGAGAGTTCACTGTACCACAACCCCAGTCGCGGCTGGGGAAAATGCTCAACTATTGTGAGCCGTGTTCGGTGATCGGTGGACGCTTTTCCGTTTGGCGATTTGCATAAACTATTGTTATCTGGAACAGCTACTACAGCATTTTCATGCAAATGAGCTGCGGCCATATGGGCCAACATGTGACACACTGACAGCCCGACAATTTCAGCGAGAGTGGCCCAGTGAGCTACAGGTTCAAAGCGGGCCTCAGCCGGCCAGCCGGAGCCGGAGCGGGAGCCCTCTGTGGACGGTGGCAGGGCATTTATGACCCCAATAATGACCCCAACCAGTTGTGAGCCAGCTCTAAAGCCGGCACTGGAGAAACAAAAGCAGCGCCTGGCTAGCATTAAGAGAATTATTCTTGTTAACTGTAGCATAAATCATTTATTAACCTAAACTAACGCACACACACACAGATGCGACACTTTAATAAACTTGTGTTTTTGTCATAAAAGTGATAGAAGAAATTAAATGTTACCAACAACTGACAACTAACAACAACTATTACTACGCAACAACAACAACAACAACAGAGCAGTTATGTTTTTATTTTCATTTCAAAGCTGAAAGCATTTAATGCACAGTGGTTCAATGCTTGACAACGACTGAACGAAATGTTGGACTCAAAATGAAGCTCTTAAAGAATTGCATAAAACTCGAACCTAGGTTATAAACATTTATCAGTGGAACGGTTAAATTTTATTAAAATTTTATATATTATATACTTATTCATTTATTAATTCGTTTTAGGAGTCGCCACCTTCAAGGCTTGTGAGGAGAAAAGTGAAGCAATTAATAGTTAAGTTTGATCAAAATATTTTGGAAAGACTTAGTATTTTTCTAAACACCACCATTGAATGCATCTTACCATATTGGGTAAATACAAATTTTCGGTGATCAATTAATTTAGCCCGCAACTTCTTTTTGAAAATATCTACGGCTAGCAATATTTTCAGTAGAACGGGCAATTAGAGACAAAATATTTAATTGTTTCATTTATAGTTAGAGACTTTTTTATATCTATTTAACGTTTGACAGCACTGAAAAGTGTTGGTGAGCTAAATGAAAACAGCATTCGCATAACGTTTGCATCTTAAGCTTATCTGTAAGTAAATGACATTGCATTTTAATAAACAAATCTATTGCAAACAATACAAAACCTAAGCTTGTGCGAGAAAATTATATTTCACAATAATGAACCACTGTACGCGGCTGACCGTTTCAAAAAAGCGTGCGTCGGAATTTTCTCTAATTAATTCATTTGTAAGTCCACGAATGTGTTGTGTGTGTGTGTGTGTGTGTGTGTGTGATAAGTGTGTGAGCTGTGCTCTCTGACGGTCTGTGGCCCAGTGCGTCGCTTGGCCAAAGTCAGTTGGTGCAATACCAGCCTAGAATGAGCTGGTTAGCTCCATAAGCTCCACACGGAATTCCCATAATTATTTTTGCGTATCATATAATTTTTTTAATGTGGGCGTGCTCAAGTGCAAATTGAAATTGGTATTAAAAACACGCGCTATTGAAAAGCAAAACAAGTGTTGTAAAAGAGAGCAATATTGGTGAACATGTGCCCAATCAGAGCTTAGGCATGCAACTGATCCTTCCAACACTGGCAGCTGTGCTGCGACTGCAGCTCCTCTTGATCTGCAGCTGGCAACTAGTGTACGCATTGGTGCCGTTGCGGCGCAACATAATCAAGGTGCGGACGAGCGGCTTTCTGCCATTTGAATCGGATCTGGTGCTGCCGCTGGGCATATTGCGTCAGCTGCAGGCACAGGAGCGTGTCTCGCGCCTGCTGCCCCAACAGCCGGCGCTGCGCTACGCGAAGCCGGCGCGTAGGAAACCCAAGCCAAAGGTCAAGCAACAGGTGCGCCTGGAGCGCGCCCATATGCGCGGCCACAGCGATGCGGATGCGGGCATCCAAATGTACAATCTGATCGATGACGATGGCGAGCTGCTGCTCAATCTGCGCGTGCACAGCGACACCGCGAGCAACATCATCGGCCCGGACAGCGGCACGCCCTGGCGACCATCGAAGTGGCGGCCCACAACTGCTGCACCATCGATAACATCATCCTCGCCGCGCCCACTGCCGCTCCATCAATACCTGAGCGGCAACAGCGTGGAGCAGGCGGCAACAATGACACAGCAGCGACGCATGTTTGGCGCTCGACAAGATTGGATCTACAAGTAATAACCAGGCGCAGCCCCAAGAGCCCACATCTTTAATTACAAATCTTTAACTTATCTTTACACACATACATTTATTGTTAACCACACGCACCAGCACACACGCACACATTCACAACCACAAGCAGCAAATACATTTTACTCAAGAAGAAGAAATCGTGAAGAAATGGGCCTATTAATCAGCTCGTTTAGCTCATTAGGCGTATAGTAATGGGCTGCCTGATGAGCTCCAAGCCGATGGATGACAACAACAAACCAAAACCAGTTGCACTTTTCAAAATATGCTGCTGCTGCGCTTAAAACCCATTGAGAATTATAATAATTGAATAATGAACGTGAAACCTGAGTAAAACATGAATATCAATGAGCTGATGATTAATAAGTAACTGTGAGTTAATTGTGGCTCATTTATTAGTTTGCTCTAATGCGCTCCCTAAATTGATGACGTGTGATGAAATGTGTAAGGTTTCAAAACAAGACCTGAGAGAACGGCCCATTCTCTGCGGGATGCCAAAAATTAAATATTATAAATAATGTCTGGAATTGCCGCAAACAAAGCAAAAAGTAAAAGTGATCTAGCTGCTATTACAAGAATTCAAACTTTCCTCTAGATAAACAATTCAACACAAAAACGGCAGCTGTGTTTCTTTCTCCCTCAGCCTGACAATATAGAGGCTTCTTATTGCATAGCTTCGGTATTTATTGTCCGATCATAATAAGGAATAAATGTGACAGACAAATGTGTGTAAATGCCAAAGGCTATAACTGAACATTTACAATTTTGGTGGCAACGGAGAGGTACCCAAAAAATATTACTCATTCTAAATCTGCGATGAAATTTGAAGTCTGTGACTATACAGTCTCTGAAATGAACTCATTCATATATTCGACAGACAGACGAGCGGAGATACAAACACAGACAATAATATATATGTAATTAACTTATGAGGTCGTAGACACTATAAACGATAGCATCAACTTTATCTGACCTATATGTAAAATATATTCTTATTTACATAAATATATATTTGTAATTACGTACTCACCTGTAAAATCACACGTTCGATTATATTCATCGTCATCTATTAGTGGGCGGGAGACGAACTTTTATATAAACACATCACTGAAAGAAGATAAAAGCAAAATAAATGTTTTATTAGCTTGAAATAGTGAGAATCGCGTAGTAGAGCAATATTTTTAAAAAGTTTTTACCTATATTTTAAATATTATACGAGATAGTTGTGTTACCAATACATACCTTTTGCTCAAGCTGCCTCCTCCTCTAATATTAAGCCGGTGCTTCCTTCTATTAGTAAGTTTCCGTCTCCTCCAAAATTACAGCTGCCGCCTCCTTCTTGGCTGAAGCTGCCACCTCCTCTAACATTAAAGCCGCCGTTGTCTCCCTTGTTCAAGCTGCCACCTCCTCTGGCATTGAAGCCATCGCTCCCTTCCGACTCCCCAATAGTTGATGCCGCCGCCTCCTGCTCTGCCCAAGCTGCCGCCTCCTTCTTAGCTAAAGTTGTCTCCCTTGTTCAACATGTCACCTCCTCTAATATTAAAGCCGCCGCTTCCTTCCGATTCCCCAATAGTTGATGCCGCCGCCTCCTGCTTTGCCCAAGCTGCCGATTCCTCTATAGTTGAAGGCAACATCTCATCCAATATCAGAGCCGCCACCTCCTGCGCAAGTCGCCGAATCCTCCTTTGCAGTCTCCTATAAGAATAATGCCGCCGCCTCCTGCTTTGCCCAAGCTGCCGACTCCTCCTTTGCTTAAGTTGCAGTCTCCTCCTATGCTCAAGCTGCCGTCTTCCCATGGTTGAAGTCGCCGCCTCCTCCTTTGCTCAAGCCGCCTCCTGCGATTGAAAAGTCTATGGCTCATTGAGGCTTACTTGAATTTATGAGAATCGAGTAGTAGGGCATTTATTAAGAATGAGTTTTGGTCATGCATATAAACATAAAATAGACATATATACATATATATACATACATATACATATACATATATATATATATATATATATATTCAAACATACGCACTTACATACATGAATACATTCATACATACATACATACATACATACATATATACATACTACATGACTCGTACATAAGTGCACACATAAATACATACACGCATGCATACATATATGCATACATATATACATGCACATAAGCATACATACACACATTTATACAATGATACATACTTTCATACATATGTATATACCCACATACATATATGCATGCATGTATGCGTACAAACAGACACACACACACACACACACACACACACACACACACACACACACACACACACACACACACACACACACACACACACACACACAGACACAGACACACACACAGACACACACACAGACACACACACAGACACACACACAGACACACAAACAGACACACAGACACACACACAGACACACACACAGACACAGACACACACACAGACACACACTCACACACGCACTCACACACGCACTCACACACGCACACACACACACACGCACACACACACACACACACACACACACACACACACACACACACACACACACACACACACACACACACACACACACACACACACACAGACACAGACACACACACAGACACACACACAGACACACACACAGACACACACACAGACACACAAACAGACACACAGACACACACACAGACACACACACAGACACAGACACACACACAGACACACACTCACACACGCACTCACACACGCACTCACACACGCACACACACACACACGCACACACACACACACACACACACACACACACACACACACACACACACACACACACGCACACGCACATACTTACATACATACATACATTCACACATGTATACATAAATACACATAGCAGTTTTATACTTAGAATTGTAAATAACATATTTTCATCTAGTTCCATTCCGTGAAAAACTTAAATTTAATCGTACTACTCATATAGAACTCGACGTCTTGGGGTAAATTTTCTAAAGATAATTGAAAATAAGTTTCAAATCTATCGAATCCAGAAACAAAGTCTGGAATCAACTGTTAAACAACATGGAAATGGTTAAATGATGAACTGAGATTTCATTGAGTTACATTTCTTTTAAATAGTGCTCGAATATAACTAGAAAATATTGAATTTAATATTGTTTAATCTCTGAATAGGTATTTATTTTTCAACAGAAAAAAAAGTGTTTCACGCTTAAAGAACTAATGGATATCATCCAAAAAAAAAAAAAAATGGGGCAAGGGGCTACTAAAACTATTTAACAAAGGAGGTCACAGTCATGACACAGTTCAAATCACAGAACAACTGGGCACAGTTGAGGGGATTACTTCCAGCTAACGACGGGGGGCAGGTAACCGGGCTGGGGAGCTGAGGCAACTGGGGGCAGGTACTCGTTGTGGGAGGCAACGGGCGCTGGGGCGCCTTCTTCGTGAATGACCTTAACGGTCTTCACCTCCTCATGGACATGATCGCCGCCATGGGAGTAGCCACCGGCATAGCCGCCACCGCCGCCCAAAGCATAGCCGCCATCCTCATGAATAACCTTGACAGTCTTGACCTCCTGATGACCACCTCCGTGCGAGAAGTCATGATGAACCGCTGGAGCCTCCTCATGAATAACCTTAACGGTTTTCACTTCTTGGTGGGCATGACCGCCACCGTAGCCAATATCGCCACCGCCGTGGGAGAAGCCGCCAGCGTAGCCACCACCGCCGCCCAGAGCATAGCCGCCATCTTCGTGAATGACCTTCACAGTCTTGACCTCCTGGTGACCACCGAAGCTGTGATGAGCAACTGGTGCCTCCTCGTGAATAACTTTAACGGTCTTGACCTCTTGATGGGCATGGCCAATATCGTGTCCACCACCATGAGAGAATCCGCCGGTGTAACCGCCGCCGCCCAAAGCATAGCCGCCATCCTGGTGAATAACCTTCACAGTCTTGACCTCCTGGTGACCACCAAAGCTGTGATGAGCAGCTGGCGCTTCCTGGTGGATGACTTTAATGGTTTTCACCTCCTGATGATGGCCACCATGGCCATGATAAGCAGGTGCTTCCTGGTGAACAACTTTGATGGTCTTCACCTCGTGCCCGCCATGACCACCGCCATAACCGCCGCCATAACCGCCGCCATAGCCGCCGCCATGACCACCGCCATGACCACCATAGCTGCCTTCGTGAATGACCTTGACGGTGCGCACCTCAGTATGTCCATGGCCATGACCACCACCGCCACCGCCGCCGCTGCCGATGCCATAACTGTAACCTCCACCGCCGCCGCCGCCACCACCTCCAATGATGCCAGCGGAGCTGGTGGCAACAAGTGCGGCGAATAAACACACAAAGATCTGTTGAAGAAATTTGAGCATTAGAATTGAACCCGGTTGGGCGACGCCTGGCTGCTTACCTTCATTGCTGGAAGTTTCTTGCTTGGGACGAAATCTGTGAAACTTCACGTAGCTGAAGAATGGAAACCGATGAGGCGACTGATGACCAGCTCCAAGCAGCTGCCCGCTTATATACGCCGGCAAAACGATTATGCTGATGCGTCCGGGGCCTTGCCCAATGCGCCGTTGTTGCGGCTTTCGCCTGAAGCGGACCGCGCTGCTGTTTTGCTTTCGTCATCGATGCGCAGGCCCCCCAAATTGGACTTTATGGTACAGTTGAGCGGCGTGGAGGGGTCTATGCGTTGTGGAGCAGTAAATTGCTAAAAAATTCAAATGAGACACAAAAAACCCGTTGACCAGCATTTCCAAAAAGAAAAGAAAGAAATAAAACCAAGCATCAGGCATAGACAAACCGGTGCGTTTATCAAAGGTAGGTCATGTCATTGCCTGACCTCGGCAGCATTTACTTCGAATCCATCACTTTCTATGACCCTATTAAAGATCACCAGATATATGTGCCTAACAAACTACTGAGCTCGAAGTTCAAGCTGCATTACGTAAGCTTTAAGCTTATGCTAAGCTTTCCGTTGAGAGTACTTACGCTTTATTTTATGCTCAAAGCTTCTCAACTGTTCTTAAAGCTGGTCAATTGTCTTAAAGCTTCCGACATGTCTCAAACAAAAGCTTTGCTGGCTTCTCAGCTTGAAAGCTGCTAAAAAGCCTTAAAGCTGTTCTTAATGTCAAACAAACGCTTTCAACTACTTTTCAACTATAATAGTATTAGTTTAATTTGCAAATAACTTAAAAGGGAGAAATGGCAAGGCAACAAAAACATACAAAAAGACCCGAAAAAAACAGAAAACATACAAAACATTAAATTTATGTTAATGTTTGCATCTGTTTATTGTTTTATGTTTATTTCTTTTTTTTTCGAAGCTGTTTTTATGTTTCTTTCATTGAGCTCTCCCTGATTTGTTAAATCTATAACGCCCATAGCCAAGTTTTTTCATTCATTTTATTTAATCTGGTTTTAGTTTTTATTGTTGCTTTTAGCTGGTTTTGGTATCAAATGGAAATCATGTCAAACTTTGTAGATTGACCAACATGGTCTTCGTTTGTGATTGTGTAAACGTCTTTGCGAATTTTAAATAGCCATTAAAAATGAAATCGCACGCTATTTTTTTTCATTTTTTTTGCATTCCGCATAATAATAAGAAAAATCAATTTATGCATTTCAATAGCATAACAATATTTAATTGGCTTTTCATTAGGCAAATCAATCAACAAATGTGTGAAGCATGCAACACACCTATTCAAAATTAAAAATTATAAAACTCTGCAGATGACACCCTTTTTCGCAGCTGATATATGCAGTTGCTGGGAAGGTTAAAGGTTGGTATTTAGTTTAAACAAACAAAAATGTATAATTAATTAACTGAAATTTTTGTAGAGGAACATATGTATGCCAATATGTGTGCCAAATTAACTCAGATGTACCCTCTTGAAGACTTTTTTGTTTGGTAAAGATAATATTTGTTAAATTTTAAGAATATATCAAAAACATTTTCGACAAAATAGTGTATGACAAACATTTTTTTTTTTTATTTGTTTGTGCCCAAAATGTTCAATATTTTGGCAACTTTTTGGCAGTTATCGAGTAGATGAGTTGTCTAAATGGCAGCTAATAAGGATGCGAGTTCAAATCCCTGCATTCCACAATGCACTGTGTTAACCAAAGGCTATTGTTGGCAGTGCTATTAAGCTATAAAGCTATATTATATGTATAAATTATATTTTGTAATTTAATTTAATAATTGTGACTGCGCTTTATAGATTTTTCACACCTAGCTTTGAAGCAATTCAAAACGGCATAATACATACGAGAATCTATTATATTATTCTAGCACATATACTGTTTGCATTGGTGAGATCGACTCGGTTAAAGAGAACATAAGCTTAAACTTACATGATCTTTGCGACTGTCCAATGCCTATTAAATCTTACGATAAAGTGTCAAGTTGGTCGAAGTATTGTGTGCTTAATATAAAATTGATAATTTCTAAAAAATTTTACTTTCAACAAGAAGTTGCGAAACACTAATGCCGAGTTTACAACTAAATCGGAAAAGAATTGATATAGAAAATCAAAAACCTAAAGTAAAAAGAGTTAATAAGGGTCTACTCAACAATTTGTTTAACATAACTATTTTAAATAAGTATTGATAGACCACCATCAATATGGCAATAGCAATAGATACAATTATGTGCAACAGATGCGCATGTGTCATATAATAATACAAAGTATTCCATGATAATATTTGTATCACATCAACCGAACTTTCACTTTGTTCGCGTATTGTACTGAAATAGAATGAGATGGATAGCTAGCAAAGACAAAGATGGCGCATATTATAGTTTTAGTTGTTTTGCATGTTTATCATCATTATCATCATCATCATCAAAAATCAGTATCATCATTATTATAATCATCATCTTAGCAATTCGTTTGTTCCAACGCCTTCTTTTAATTACATAAATTTCTACGAATATTAATTGTTAACAAAAATGAAAATTAAAAAAAAATAGAGAAGGAATACCTTGTATCAGTGTATACTATATCCAGCGTATTAGATTATACAAATATAATAATAATATTAACAACATTACAATTATGCGTTATTAAATTTAGTGATAATGGTAATCATTATAAAAAAATAAAAAAAATATATATATGTATATCGTATAGTATATGTATATAATAATTACATACATATATAGCATTTTTATAATAATTAGTATGTATAGGATGTAAAAATATAACCATCGCTCTCATACGATAATAAATATTAATGCTGATGACATATTTGTATTGAAGAAAATACTCGCGCATGTTACGGTGTGAGTGTATGAGTGTGTGAGTGTGTGTGTGTGTTTTTCTGTGTACATATGTTGAAGCTTAGGAAGTAAAGTAGGTTGTAGATTTACGCGCAATTGCGCAGCTGTTGCGTAGGCAGTTCCATAAACCACCTACAAGCCAGCAATCACGCGATCGCACAACTGTTGCGACTGTGGCTGGTTGGCGTCTTGCAGCGATTCCGGCTCTTTGAGTTTTGCGTTAACGAATTGTAGCACTGTGACGTCGTCATGGCATACGACTTGAGTGTCGATTTAACGGAGGGCGGCAGGTGCAACGAATCTATAGCATAAACACTTGTGCGACGCACAATTGTCCGACAGCAGAGCTCCTGCAGCGACAGCACTGTAAATGAATATGCATGAATATGAATTAAATAATCAACTATTGATTGGGCAGGAGGGCAGCCTTACCCTTGTTGCTGCGCCAAATGTGCTCCATGCCATTGCGATGTAGCGCCATGCGCGCCAATTCGCAGAAAGATTCGCGAATATTGAAATCGCAGAGTGGTGATATCTCAAAGCAGGACATATTATTGCGCGATGCGTAGGTCTCCGCCTGTTTGGCGGCCACCTGACGTTTGTAGGCCAAATGCAAGCGATTGCCTACAAGCACTTTGGGTATGCCGGGCGCATGCTACAAATAGATTTAATAATTATTTCCTTAAAATTGGGTCCATTTGGGGTACTCACCTCCTCGACCTCTTTTAGCCAGCGATCGATGCCGTCGAAGCTCCATTTATTTGTTATATCATATACTAATATAATACCCTGGGCACCGCGCGAATACGAGCGTATTATGGTGCAGAAACGCCCCTGGCCGGAGGTATCCCAAATCTGTAGCTTGACCCGCTTACCCTCCAGCAATATTGTTGTCGTTTTATACGCTACCGTTTGCAATATGTGAGAGGAGCAATCTGTATATGAGTTGGGATATGATGGATGCATAATAATATTAAGCAAACTACTTACCGTTGCCGCTGCAGAAGGGGCTCTCGGTTGAGGGATCCTCAAGATTAGAGAGTATTTCATGTTTGCCCACATCGCTGTCCCCCACCAGAAGCACCTTTAACAGATAATCGTAGTCTTTTGTCATGGTTCTCATACAGCTGAACCCTGTTGCTGAACCTGCTGCAACAACAATAACAAAACAAAAAAAAAAGCAGGTTAGTTACCATTTTTAACAAGCCAAAGAATGCGAGTCCAAGTTCTTGTTGCTTGTGGCTGTTGCTCGGCTCCGGTTAACCGGTATGGGCGGAGAGAGGGGAGGTGTATAAGCTGCGCCAGATAAGCGCACACACTCACATACACACTCACACACACACACACACGCGCACACAACGAACAGAAACACAAACTGCAAGGTGCCAAAGTCGAACCGGCAATTTTTTTTATAATGTGGGCAGAGTAACATTTATCTAGTGAGTCATTCAGCAGAGACACACAGATACAAATAGGTTCGTGCACACAGCCGTGCATATGCAAATGGGCGTGATTCCACCAAAAAAAAATATGCATATACATATATACATATATATATATGAAATACAACCTAGAAGAAAAAAAAAAAGGCAAGTAGTTTCTGCTTTTCGCCGGTTTGCACCACCCTACGCTGCGCATTAGGGTGTTCGTTGCGTTTTATGGCTGGCCAGTCATTTGGGTGTGTTTTGTTTTGCACCGCAAGCGAGGCGACAATAACAACGAAAACAACAGCAGCAACACATCAGGCGCACACTCATACACACACAGTGAAAAACAATGGGCAAATTATACAAACATTAAGGCTGACACTCACACACTGTAATTGTATTTTAAAGTATTGTACAGCAACAGTAGCTATTTATTGTTTACGCGCAACATTTGCATTTTGTCGTTTTTAAATTTGCAAAAAAAAAACACGCGAGCATAGAAATTGCAGCACAATCGACGGAAATTTATTTTACCCAAATACGCATATGCACATGCGAATAGAGTTGCAGCCTCATGCACATATCGCCAATCTCGCACTATCGATGGAATTCGCATGCTATCGATAATTTTCTTCTTTTTTTTTTTTGTTTTGATTACACTGGCTTTTGAACCAATCCAACAACTCTACGTCGTTTTCATTTGTGACAGCAATAAAAATAATGGTGAATTATATCGAGCTACAAAGTGATCTGCTGCAGAAAGCAAACGCTAATGCAGAGGCGCAAAGGCTAAGAAGGCGCGTGCTAATGGTCCGTTACATTCTGGTGTTTGCAATTGTCATATTTATATGCATCAGCGTACTTCCTCTTTGTTTTCCAACGATTAATCAAAATGTTGGGCAACAACAACAACAACAACGGCAAAGGCAACAAAAACAACGTCTTGTTTGCTATTATTCGACTTCAGGATTCGATAAATTGAACCTGTTGGATGTTCCCGGGGATTTGTGCACGCACATCAATATTGGAATTGCCAACTTGATCAACAGGACGCTGCATTTGTCGCCGCGCCTTGAACAAGTGCTGCAGAATGAGACTCGCCTATTTCGTGCCGCCCATCCGCAGGTGCATCTATTGCTCTGGATTGGCGGGGCCGACACTGGGCCTCAGTTTGCCGATATGGTCGTGAATCATGAACGCCGCAAACAATTCTTGCGCTCACTAAGAGCCGTGCTACACAAATATCCCAGCTTGGATGGCATCGATCTGGATTGGGAGTTTCCGAGCGCCTATAACAAGGAACGTGTCCACTTCTCCCAGTTGCTGCACGAAATTCGGCTGGAATGGCGCCGTGAACAACGCACCAACAATCTGCTCACCATGGCCGTGGCAGCGCCCGAAGGCATCGCATTCTTTGCCTACAACATACGCGAAATCAATCTTTACGTGGACTATGTGAATCTGATGACCTATGATTTTCATTTCTATCGCGAGGACACGCCCTTCACCGGCCTAAATGCGCCGCTCTTTGCCCGTCCCATGGAGCATTCCATCATGGGTACCTTCAACATCAATTACACCGTGCACTGGTGGTTGCAAAATGGATTGGAACCCAAGCGTTTGGTCATCGGCCTGCCCACCTATGGACATTCCTTTACGTGAGCATAACATTCTCCTTCATGTAGTCTTCAGTGTATTTATTAGCACCCACATTTTGACAGGCTTGTAAATCCATTAAACGCGCGCATAGGAGCACCTGCCTCGGGCTTTGGCAAGTGTGGCCGATTAGGATTCACCACGCTCTCGGAGACCTGCGAGTGCGCCAAAAGTTACATGTCGCCAAACTACACATACGACAATTACACCTGTTCTCCCTATCTGAATTCGCTGCAGGAATGGATATCATATGAGAGCACAAAGAGCATTGCATGCAAAGCAAGCTATGTCAAATCCTTGAACGTGGGCGGTCTAATGATCTTCTCCCTGAACACGGATGATTTGAACAACAATTGTGGTTATATGACGCGCAGTACCGGAAATGTTGCTAAGCCTGTTTTTCCACTAGCCAAGGCTGCCAATACAATCCTAACAGGATCCTGAAAATTGGTGATAAGAAAGGTTATTAAGTTGTGGGTGCCAACTAGGAAACTGTTTTAATGTATTATAGCTATATTCAGAATCGTTTAACGATACTTTCCGCACCTTATACGACGTTTGTTTTTATGTGTGTTGATATGATAAGTAGATCAAATGTTATTTATACTATATATGTATGTTTTTTTTTTTTTTTGATCTCAATAAGAACATTCATTATAATAGCTTTGTTGAGACTATTATAATGATGTCATATATGTGTGTTAGCAGCAAAGTTGATATAACCATGTGTTTTTAAAGTATATCAAAACTATATCATATATATACTCTAGGCTAAGTATATAAATATATCGTTACTTTACAAGGCTATTTAATCTTCGGCACACCAAAGATCGCAGCTTTATCTTGTTTTCAAATACCTCGATTGCGCGGCTAAAACGTACCGAAAAAAAAAAACTTATATTATAAGCAATTATCTAAGAATTATTTCTTTAATATCTATATGCATAAGTATAAATAAAAATTATCACAATCGATCCATATTCATAATATAACTAGAAATTTTAACACGCAAATTATATTTACTTGTATGTTAATATGACCATTTTGCGTATATAATTATTTGGATGGGACAGCTGTGTGGCGTAGTGGGGCAGGAATATCTGGTTGTTTGTTAGGTGACATACATAAATAAGCAAAAGGAATGGAAAAAAACAGCTTCGTTAAGTAATGCCCGAAGGAAAGCATAATACATTGCAGTTTGTTTGGGTAGAGAAGTAGATCCGACTGGATTGCCGGCTGTTAGGTACGTCTCAGCCATGCCAGGGACGGCAATCATGTGTGCTTGGGCGTTCGCTGCAGATTTGGTGGCGGCGCTGCGAGCAGCTCATCGATTTGTATTTTATACGCCTGCTTTAACTCTACCAGATCCAGTTCTAGCTCCTCGGTCCGCTCAACCTTCTCGCCGTACATCTGCAACAGCGCATCGTAGCGATGCTGCAGATCCTCATAGCATTTCTCCATGGCCTCGTATGATTGCACTTTCTCCTTCAACTGTGAGCAACAGATCATTTTATTGATAGCTACAATATTTATGCATCAGGCACTTGTACTAACCGTCTCCATTTCCATCGTCAAATTTGATATTTCATTGTCCAGCACGCCGCGTTCCGCCTGCAGACGCGACAGTTCCCACTGCAGATGCGTTAATTCGCCATCGCGCTGCTTAAGCAGCGCCTGCAGATGCTCCAGCGTTGTGGTGTTGCCGGCCAGAAAACTCAAATGCACGCCCTGAATCATGCCCGACTGCTGTCGTCCACTATTGGATGCACATTCCAAATCATCCTGTTGGCGAACATTATATTAACATGGTTTTAAATTTAGTTTACGCTTTTATTTATGTGAACTAAATTGATTTGCTTACGCCCTGCCAGTCAATAATTCCGCCCAGTGTATCCTCATTGGAGCCGCTCTCATCAGCCAGGCTGAGCGGCGGCGAGACGTGCAGCGGCTTCTGGCAGCGGTTCTCTGACAGCTCGCTGCTGGCCTTGACTGCCTCCACGGTTAGCTCGCTGCTCCGCTGAAAGGCGTGCAGTTTCCGCAGCTCCGCCTCGAGCTGCTGGCACTGTTCGGCCAATTGCTCCTGTTTGTCCTGGCGCTGCTTCAGTTGCGTCTGGAGTGTGCTTAATTGGCTAGACAGAGGGAAACCAAAAGCGGATTCAGGCTAGCCGTATGGCATTATGGATAAGATAAATTGTGTGCTCGCACCTTTTGTAGTCGTTTTCTTTGATTGTAGCATCCAGCTCCTGCTGGCGAAGCTGTATTTTTGCGCTCTCCGACTGCATGAGCGCATTGGCTAACTTCTCCTCAAGCAGGTCGCAGCGTGTGCGCAACAGTTCCTGTTTTTCTTGCTGCACTGTTTCGAGCTGCTGCAGCGAATGCAACTGAGACTGCGCATCCTCCAGCTTTTGCAGCAGCTGTTGCTCATCTTTGTTCCAGCTGGCGGTGCGCTGATTTAGCGTCTTTTGCAGCGACTCGATTTGCCGTATGAGCGGCGTTGTCGACACGCTCAGCTCCTGCGTACTGCTCTCGGCACGCAATTCGGCCGCTTCCAGACGACGTAGTAAATCGCGTTTCTCCTCGCGCATCTGCTGCTCCCGCTTGACCATGTTGTGCTCGGTAACGCGCAGCTTTTCGCGCATATCACTCAACTGCTGCACATACTCCTGATTCTCGGCCTGCATTTGGTTCTGTTCGTGCCGCTGGCGCTGCTGCAGATCACCTTTCACACCATCAAAGCTTGCCTGCAGCGCCGCCAGCTTGGACTGCAAGTCCTCGATGCGACTTCGGCATTCAGCATTTTCCTCATCTACGCGCCGTTTCTCATTGGTCATGCGGCAAACAGCCTCAATTTGAGTGCGTTCCATTTCCTCTTTGGCGGCCAGCGATTTTTTCAAGCGCTCGGATTCGCTGGATAGCTGTGAAATTTGCTCGCCATTCTTCTTTAGTAGCGTATCGGATGTCTTCTCCTTGGCGCGTAGCTTTTTAATAATGTTCGACTGCTGCAGTATCTCCTTGGACAGTTTCTCGCCCTCAGACTGAAGTGCAGTGATCATTTCATTGCATTCGGTCAGCTCATCCTTGGGTATCTTGTTGAGCAGCTCGTCCTTAAGGCTCTTGATTTGTATGCGCAACGCATCCCGTTCGCGTATGCTCGCCTGAAACTTCTTCTCCAGCGCCGACAGACGCTGCACTGCCTCATTGGCTTCGCTGCTATTGGCGCTGTTCTTGGCCGCCTCCACATGGGCGCAAAGCTGCTGGTTGCGCTCAAGCAGCTCCGCATTTTGGCGCTCTGATTGCAGCAGACGCTGCTCTCGCGCCTCAATAACCTGATTCAGCTCGCTAATGCGATGCACTAGCTTATCCAGTTCAGACTGTGAGTCCTCCGACAGCAGCGAGATCTCCGATGGCTCTCGGTGATGTCCCTTGCTTTTAAGGCCATGCAGGCCATGCGCATGGCCCTTAACACTTCCGCCGCAAAGCTCTTTGAACTTTTGGGGACTGGTGCGCGTTGTGGTGCTATTTGTGCTGGAATCACCGTTTGGATTCGAAATGATCTCAATGTCCGATGATGTGGACGAGTAGCTCTGGTCGGGCAGCTCCGTTTTGCTGCCATGCTGGCATGCCTCTGTGCTGGCCGGACTGCCTGCCGACTTGCTTTTGTGGCTTACCTGAAGCTGGATGTCTTCAAAACTTTGCGTAGAATCCGAATCAGCACCAGCGCCAGCCACATTAACAGTGGTCTGTGTGTCGCTAAATACCAATGCCTTCATGGTTTTGGTAGAATCTGCAAGGATAATCAAAACGAGTTCAGAAATGTTCGAGAATTGATTCTAAAATTAAATACGTTGATTTCAAATTAAAGATAGTAGAATACAAATTAGTAATGTTTAGTAGTGAATTTTACCATTCAAATGCAGTGAGTGATCATCATGATCCAAGTTAAGCGGTTGCCCATCGTCCCCGTCATCATCGTCATCGCCATTATCAGCATCCTCGTCGTCATCGTCATCATCGCCATCCGCATTGTCAGACGTGTCATTGCTGGCTATGATGACTATACTATCTGGCAGCGATGGATCTGTGTCGGGCGACATATTCATTTCACTAGCCGTTGTCGGCGCTGTTATTAGCTCCAATGACGACTCGGAGTTGTGTAAACAATCGGCGCCAGTTGGCGACGTGGGCGATGGCGATGATAGCAAGTCCACGGAATCTGACGTGGCTGACTGCCGTTTCGCAAACAGATTGGCCGTGGCTGGCGTTGAGGCATCGCTCGCTCTGGGCGGAATAGTTACCATCTCGTTGGCATGCGGATTATCATAGAACGTGGCCCCATCTATTGCTGAAGTGGCCAAAGTGCTTGGCGTTGCTGCCTTGGCGCCGGGCGTGGATGTTGCACTGCTGCTGCTGCTCGCCGCAGTGCCAGCGATGCCACTGCCAACGTGATCTGTTGCCTTGTTGTCATCATCTTGGATATCCAGCGCCTCAATTAGAACAGTTTTGGCTTTTTCGAACCAACTCATGCCGCCTATTAATGTTCCAATGCGCTAGCTGTGATACGCTTAGTGGCCGCAGCGCATTAATTAGTAAATTCTTTTGCAACAACTCCGATTTTACAAACACGAACACATAATTAACAAAACCTTTTATTTCGTAGCTGGTTGGCAGCATCAATGGCTATCGTACCAATATTTCGATATTTTACTATCGATTTCAATATATCCAGCACTTAAATTAAATTGGCAAGGATGCGCAAAGCTAAGACAACTATGAACAAAAATATTCATTTGCATACAATTAATAATTTTGTTAGTCTACTTGGACCAAAATACAAACATATATGTGCTAAATTAAGAGATCATCACCATCGATAATATCGATAATAATCGATAGTGCGGTTATGTATCGCCATCAGCTAGACATGTGTGCTGGCATTGTGCAACACCAAACGTTGCGATAATTAGTTGTGGTGGTCGGCCAATAAATTGTGGTGGTCAAAAGCAAAGCAAAGAGTACACATAAAACGAAAACGGAGATGTTAAAAATAAAATAGAGAAAACGGAAACAGTCATTTAAATTGCGAGTGGTAATCAAGCGGATTAAGCATAGTTCCAATCCACAACTATTTTTTGGCTTTCGGTATAAAAATAACAACAACAACAGTCAACTACGCACCGACAACGGACACCAACACTAAGAACCAACACCGACACTGACACCGACGACCGACGTACGATTAACGCCCTCCCTACGCTCCGCACTTTTGGCACCCGCACACACACTGACGCACACACGCATACACTCCTCTCTACAAATAATCATCATCATCATCATCATCATCATTATCATCATCATTGCACAGGCGAAGGCACAAGGCACATAAACACTCAAACACTTATCTATATACCGCGTTTATCAACGCCGCCCGTCTCCGCCACCGCTGCTGACCCACCACCTCCCACACCCCACCAACCTGATCCACAACATCAACTTTGTTTGCTATTGTTGTCTGCTGCTGCTGTCATTTGTTTTGTTTCCTTAAATGTGAACGCACACACACACACGCACGCACGCACGCAAACACCTACACATACGCGCAAAATACGAAGGAGCAAACAAAGGCGACGGCTCGAAAAGAAAAGAAAAAAACTGCAACAAAACAACGGAGAGAGCGAGCGAGAGTGACTCCATTGAGAGCGAAAGCAAAAAGTGCAATAGAGAGCGCAAGTTTAAAAGTGCAAACTTAAATAACAAAACGATCAGCGATCGCGGGGCGTAGGGCCAGTGGGGGGCAGAGGCCGTGCGAGAAAGTCAAACTCAAACTCTATGGGTCAAAAGGCAAGCACACCAGCGACCAGCGGCCAGCAGAGCCCACGCTCCAGAACATTTTCCAGCAGCTCAACGGGTGCAACCGCAACCGACACAACGCCGCAAAGTTCAGCGGTTGGTGGCCGCGGCGGCGATGCCGGTCAGGGATTTAACTTGCTGCGCACACTGCCGGGTCTGCAGGTCTATCACCACCATCATAATCAGCAGAACTCCACGTCCATAGACCGACAGCGTGCTCGCAGCCTTAGCTCTGTGCCAGATATACAACAGCAGCAGCAGCAGCAACAACAACAACAGCAGCAGCAGCAACAACAACAGCAGCAACAGCAACAACAGCAGGGATCCACAACGTATCCGCACACACATCCCGCCGTCTCAGTCTCTGTGTCAGCTAATTCAAATAGCAATAGTTTCCAAGTGGCAGCCGGCAACAACAACGGCTCATCGGCTGCCGCACAAAGCTACATGCAACAGAGACGCGCTTTTGGTGACTCAATACGCGTAAGTTGCCCACACACAAAGAGACTCTCGCTTTTCTAACTATGAGCTATTTTCATTCTATGTGCAGGAGATGTCCATGACCGGCGCCAATATCGTTGAGAGCATCGCAATGGCCGCATCTGCAACATCTGCGAATGGCATCGGTCGTGTGTACACAGCGACATCGCTGCCATCGCACATTTGGTCCTTCAATGGTAAAAACGATGCCTAAATAAAATATATATATATACATGTATATTTACCTATTCTCTTTGCAGGCATCAAGTGTCCCGTGTGCAATAAGTTCGTGTTGCCAGACGATATTGAATGCCATTTAGTTATGTGCCTAACAAAACCCAGACTCTCATATAATGGTATGCGGTGCAAGAGTGCCACAAAATGTTTACAACAAAATTAAATGTTAAATGTATATGTTTTATAGAGGATACATTAATGGACGCCAAGGGCGAGTGCGTCATATGCCTTGAAGACTTGAGTCCAGGTGATACAATTGCTCGATTGCCATGTCTATGCATATACCACAAAGGGTGAGGCTGCTGAATGATCAATCATTGATGTGTATATATATATATACTATATACTGGACATGACCTTTCTATTTTGCAGCTGCATTGATCGTTGGTTTGAGGTGAATCGCTCCTGTCCCGAGCATCCAGGAGATTAGTAAAAGTCTCATTAGGTAAAGAGCCATATATATTATGTGTGTGTGTGTGTGTGTATACTGCTGATTAATAGCAATCATTTAATATTTATTTTTTTACTTTTTGTTTTGGCAAACACATCTTGTAATGCGCCAGTGATATGAATAATTGCATATAGCAGTCAAGCGGTCTATAGAAAGATGTTAATATTTAATGTATTCTTTTTGTGTATGTAATGTGCATATTGATATGTAAATGTATGTAGCTTTGTCATATTGGGAACTCAATGCAATTTGTATCTCCCGTCAAGTACATGCATATGCATGGGTTGGCATTTGACATGCATGTATGTGTACTTGTATATATGCTTCTTAATGCATTGTATTTGTATTTCAGAGCTCGTTAAGTCGTTTAACGTCTAAGTGGGCAGTGCGTAGAGCGAGTGCCATAAACAAAACTGGATGATAGACGACTTTTGAGCAAGCATTTGTATGTATATTATGTATATATGAATATTATATATATATTTAAATAGAAGAAAATCTATTGTGTGTTGTACTCAGTAGTTTTGCATATTTGCAGGTTAGCAACAAAAAGCCAACATTGTAAAGATCATCAATTGTTAAATGGAATGGAAAATGAAGTGAGAGGAGAGGCTACGACAAGCAAAATCTGGATCGAGCGATCGATCGTTTTGACCTACCGACCGACTGTTTATGCAAATCCACAAGAAAACAAACACAAATCAATTGAAACAAATTAATTTACAATGCTATCATAACTAGAAAGTGCAACGTCAACAAACAAAGGACAAAGGACAAAAGTGAACGAAACCAACCAACCCACAAAAACAAAACAAAAAAAAAAACAAAAAAACAGAAAAGAAACAAATAACAAAGCTAAATCAACACGATGTTAAGAATGATGTAAAGATAAAGTTAATGATGATGAAAGTGCATGAAAGCGAAGCAACCAACCAACCAACAAAAGAATGTCAACCAATGTGATGTTAAATTTTATATTTTGTACTATGGATATGATGTAATTGTAATGTAATGTATATGTATGTATGTATTTATTATTTTAAAAAAACAAACTAAAATAGGATAAACACAGAACAACTAAAAAAACTATAAAAAGATAATAGCATAACAAACACACACTATAAATAATTATGCTTAATTAGTACACAAAAGCAAAGCAACCAAAAACAAAAAAGGATGAAAGCCTTACTTTAAAAAATTGATTGACTATGTCACTTTATGTCATTGTTTTTTATTTCAAATTTTACAAATTCTTTGTGTTTATCCATGTCATAAATTAGTTATTGCTATTTATATTATTATTTTTATACACACCCACTATTTTTTTTTTTTTGTTATACTTGTATTCTGTTTGTATTGTTAATTTGACTAAAAAAAAAATTTTAAAAACAATGTAAAATGAGAAAATATTGCAAATATTGAACCATCTGTCATGTGAAAATTCTGGTCAAACGAATGCTTAAGGCAATTAACTGTATTTCAAGTTTTAAAACTGGCTAATGGAGTTCCTGTCCTAGACAAAGGGTATCCAAAAAAACAAAATAGCCGCATTCATAAGCCGTAACGTAACGTAGCCTACGAGCTGGGCCGTAAATACATATGCATATATAGATATATATATAAATAGAATATAAAACGAAACTATTATTTACTGTTCGGGTTTTTTTTTTTGCTTTTTTATTATTTTGTAATAACAACTTTCCTTAGCCGCAGTTGCGGCGGAAGTGGATGACGACAGCTCGTAAAGTTTATGTGTAAATTATATATACGTATATATATATATATAGTATATACATTTATATGAATAAATAGATATGTATACATTAAAATACTGTACATATTATAAACATATAATTGTATAACTATAGCGTTAGCGTTTCGCATTCAGCGTAACCGCAAAGGTAACATTAACGTTAATTGAAAAATGATTTTCCCCGACACAAACACAATGAGAACAAAAGAAAATAGTTACAAATGAAAACAATATTTATATATAGCTGAAATTTTCATTTAAAATAGTACTTGTTTGTAAAATACATTGAGATACACACACTCACACACACACACACACAGAAAGAGATAACAACAAAAATAGCTGTAAGCGAGAATCCCAATAACGTTAATGTTGATTTGCAACAAATACCTAAAAACAAAATGCATTAGCTGGTGACAAGTATGTCTTGATCCTATTAAGAACATTTAAAACTTTTTACACCCTATCCAACGGAAAACAAGAACAAATTATAATCGTAAATTGATAAACGAATGATTACCAAGTAAAATGACAACCGATGGGAAAAAGCTAATTGAGATAAAAACAAAAAAATTTAGGAAATAAATGAGTGATTATATATAAATACATTTATTCACGCTGATGGCACTTTTTCAATTAATCGATCATTTTTAACGAACTGCATCATTTTATTATGCTTTCAACCTGTATTTATTCGGAACGTCTGATCTATTGCAGCTATCCTTCGATTTTTTTTTTCGAAGAAATTTGAAGATTATATCTAAACCATTTAAAAGATAAACATACCTGGGAGTAATGCATTTAAAAATGATTTCAGGCATACTGCGGTCGATTTAGAGAAAATACCTTGCAATTGCTAACAATGTGATCCGCTCCTTTTAGTCCAATTAGATTGTCGTTGATCTATTTGATTCCATTTGCCAGGAGATATGTGTCCATTTGTTTTCTCAAAACATGCTTTTTCTGAAAGTTTAAACAAGATATTATGCATTTTATAAATTGGTTAAGTAACTATTTCTTTTTAACGGTTTTACAATTTAGGGCCTTTTCACAACAAATTTTAAATTTTGATTTAATAAATTTTGGAAAATTACCTCTTGCCAATCGAGAGAATTGCTACGCGTTGTTTTAAATGTATCGATAATGCTATCGATGACTTGTAACCCATCGCCGGGGAAGTCCCGAAAATCCAACTAATTAAAACACATTAGACTAATCGTGTATTACTCGTTAATGAAGATCGCATTTAATCACCGCAAAAAACTAATAAACAAAAAAAAAATTTGGCTGTAAATTATGAAATGAATTAACAAATCCAACTGAAGCACATCTCCAAAGAGATGCGCCACGCCTGCTGATGTATGAATGTACGCGTGTGTGGGAAATGTATTCATAATACGGCTATAGGATAGTTAGGTAAAAACGATTAGAGCCTAAATTAAAAAATTTTTCAAAGCTTAAAATTAAATACATGATATATAATATGAGGTTTTTCGTTTCTCTCTTTCTTTTGCGAGGGGCGGCTAAAAGTTCAATAAAAAGAAGGATGCTTGTGGGTTGTTGTGTGCGTGTGTGTGCTTAAAATGAATTAAAATCTGAAATTTGCAGCGGCTGCGAGAACTGTTCCCAAGGCCCGTCGAGTTGCTTACATTTTGGGCGAGTTCCGAAGTGCTAGCCCCACGAGGCGCTGCATCCTTCGGCGCCACCCAGCATTGCTCAGCACCCAGCACAGTGGGTGGGCGGCGGTGTGGGCGTTTGGGCATCGCATTGAGCTTTGAAAGCAACCGAAACGATATTGTCTTTGTGTCTTTCATGTTCAATGGTTCATTTGTTTTGTTTTTTTTTTTTTTTGTTCTGTCGTTAAATCAACTATACTTTTAGGATGGGCAGGCTGTGTGTGTGGCAATGGATGGGAGCGCGCCGATCGCTGCGCCCCTTAGCGGCAATTAACGCCAGCCTGAACGTATATATACATGCAATATACACACACATATATATATATATATTAATATATACACATATATATTTGACAGCAGGCTTTGCACTTTGCAGCGTCCAGTCAAGTCCAATCCAGTCACGTCACTGTCGTCAGCCCCGATCATATTGCGTTATCTATGCGATTTATATGCCCGTTTGCCATTGTTGGCATGTCCGTTGTGTTAGACCCATGGCGTCCAGCCCTCATACAGTACGGCCAGATTGTCCGGATTGGTAGCCTCGCGTATCACATAGTCCACCTGTTCGGCAACGGTGGTGCGCTGATTGCTGTCCGGATCGCGTCCTTCCAGCTTCATGCGTATCTTTTTCCAAACGGATACTCCATATGCATTGCGTTTCTGCTCGTGCAGATTGGCTGCACCTGAAAGTAGAATGGCTGGTTGAGACTGTGATGGAACTTGTTGGCATTTGTGGCGATTACCCTTGTTATGCGTAAAAGTTTCGTATGGCAGTGATTCGCCCTCGGCGGCATGTTGTAGATAGTCGTCAATGCTTCTAAAGAATACATCCATATCGTGGTTGGCCATTTGCTCGATTTGCTGCAGCTGCTGTTGCCAATTGGAGAGCGTGTCGTGGCGCAGACCATGTCGCTCACTGTTTAACTCCTTTCGCAGATCCAGCAATCGCTGGAAGAAGTTCAAGAGCGTGCGTTGGGAATCGCGCACATGCCCACAAAGCAGCTGCACATCGAGCGGTACCAGTTTGCCCTGATCCTCGGCATCGGCACACAGGCTGCGTGTGTAAACGCGTGGCATCTGCTCCTGGTGACGCTACATGAAAAGAAAAAGAAAAAAATATTTTCAGCGGTTATTCCAGGCTTTTAGATGAAAATTGTCACAAAATTTACCTGAATTTCCTTGAGCAACGTGCATATGTAACGGTGCCTGCTCTGCTGTTCCAACTCCAGCGTTGACAATTCGCGCTGCACTTTGCACGTATAATCCTCGAGCAGACCCTGCACATTCTCCACCCAGCACTGATCGATGGCGCCCTCGGGATCCAGCAGCTGGACAATCGCCTGCTCGACGGCGCTAATACGCGCATTGCTTACCTGCCATTGATGATGGGCTTGCAGCCACTGCTCCATGTTGTCCAGCAGCAGCTTTTGCTGCTGTCCGACAACCATGCCCACCTGCTCCATGCTGCACAGCGCACTGGCGCATTTGCTCAGCTCATTAATTACGTCCAACTGATCGCTGGTCAGCTGATGCTGCAGCTGCTCGTTGCGCAGCAGGCTGTCGATGTGATTCCGATTCCAGTTGCTGCGCTGACTCTGCAGCTGCTCTAGCTGTGATGCCAGCCGACGCTGCAATCGCTGCATGGCCAACGAGCTCTCAGCCAATGTCTGCCAGTTCTGGCTGATTGCCTCGCACAACTTCTGCCGGCTTATGATGTGGCCGCAGGGCAATTGCTCGCTGTCCAGCAAATCGCCATAGGCCCAATAGTGTGCCGATGCGATTAGCGTCTGTGTCTCGATGCGCTGATTGAACAGCGCAATCTCGCACTGCTGCTGCTGCAGTGTCGCCTCCAATTGCAGTGCCGCAAAGAGGCTGTCGCACAGCTGTAGCAAATCCGCCGGAGACTCGCTGACGGCAGCCAACTCCTGGCCGCGTGCTCCACAGCAATTGGTATAATAGGCATACGAAAGCAACGGGACAAGACCAACGATATACTCCAATTGTAGACGCTGCACAAAGCCCAGCAATGGGCCACACATCAGTCGCACGTCGTAGCTCTTGCTGGCAGCCAGCGTCTGCAGCACGAGCTCAAAGAAGGAGCTGTTGCCCAACTGGTTGCTGGTGTACTTAAGTATGTTGAGCTCCTGCAAAGATTTCGAAGATATTGTATTTATATAATTGTTATTTTAGCTTAGGATAAGGACCTTGGCCTCTATTCGAGCCGCTGTCAGTTATCGTCCGATGTTCTGTAGTCGATATAACCTGATTAGTCTGTCCCTTCGCCTATCTCCAAGTTTGGCAGAGATTTTATTGATTGTTATTCGATTTGGGGCACAAATTTGTAGAAATCTATATTACATCTGCTGTATATTTTCAAGTTCTTCTATCCAATCTGATTATCTATGTTCATTATACTTTCTTTTATATATGAATAGACAGATATATATATATTATATGTGTCTCGGCCTATCCATATCTATCTGTAAGATTGCATAGATTCTACTGATATATCTTTGTCTTTGTCTCTTTCATGAATACTACCTCACTTTCCCTCTTACTAACAGACTTTCTTTCTCCGTCTATCCATGTACCTTTCTCTCTGCCTTTCTCAGTTTAACTTTGTTAATCCCCATGCATCAGTTAGCCTTAATGACAGCAAATGCTCAATATCAATATTGAGCTTTTATCAGACGCAATGCACTTTTCTCTAGCTTTGGCTTTATTGGCAACCTCTGAGAAGCTTTAATGAGCTTTAATTTGTAACTATGCTCAATTTGATCGAAAGCCTGCGTATTCTAGCAGTTAGCTTATGTCACTCACCATGTACTGCTGTGTCTGCACATCCTGGACATCGTCAATAATCAGTTTAATGTTGCGCGCCATGCGCTCCAGCGCCTTGGTGAGCTGCTCGAACTGCTCGTAGGCGGGCTGCAGGGACTGCATGAACTGCTGCTCCAAAGCTAAGGGAATTGCCAGCTGCTGATGTTGGTGCTCCTTAGACAGCTCCTGCTGCTCCTCTGGCTGCTGTTGTTGTGATATAGCTCGCAGATAACGTTTGCCCAAGGTCTCGCTGCTTAGCTGCAGCAGAACATCCAGCTGATCCAGGTTGGGGCACAACAGCAACAGGCGGAACAGGCTGGCGGGCAGATCGTGCTCGAAACAATGCTGCAGCTGTATGAGAGCGGCAAGGACATCCTGCAGCTGGCTGAGCGGATCATTGGCCTGCTCCATGGGCTCGACAACGCTCTGACACATGGAACGCACCAGCTGAATGTGTTGCAATTGATGCTGCGTCAACTTTGGATCCTGAGCATTCAGAGCCGACTGCTCGTAGCCGCTAAACACGCTGTTCGCCTCGTCCAGGGTGCGATTGAGCGCCGCATTGAGCAGCGTCTGGCTCCAGCCGCTCTGTCCAATCGCCGCCAGCAGAGTGTGCGAGGGCGTCTGCGATTGCGCCAGTGCCTGCTGGTTGGCAAAGTGCTGCGTCAACTGATGCAGCTGGCAGTTAAGATCCATCCAGACCGACTCCAGGGTTTGGGCAGCGCTCAGCTTGTTGGCGGCATCGATGTCTCCCAGAGTCGCCGCCATGGAGCTGCTGGTCTCACCATTCTGCAAATAGCCCGCATAGGTGTCGCGGAAGCGCACATAGATGTTCTCGCGCTGCCGCTGCTCTGGATAGTAGGTCATGATGGCCGCATACTGTTGCATGTGCTCCACACACTGCAGGCCCAAATCATTAAGTCGGCCGAATAGCTCGTCCAGCTGGCTGCGTGTGCTATCATAGCTTTCCAGTGTCTGTGGCGGCAGATGGCACTGCACCAGCTCCACCAGGGCCAGATACTCATTATGCCAGCTGCTGCCCTCCAGCTTGAACTGAATGAGACGCACATTGAATTCGGCCAGATGCTGCTGCTCCAGGCACTGGCCATAGCTGGCGAGTAGGCACTGCACCAGCTCATAGTCCACATGACGCAGTTTCGCCTGGCGAGCCAGCATCTCCGAGTGAAACAGCTTGGCGGCATAGCGCGGCGATGCCGTATTGAAGCTATGACTTTCGATGGCCGTGCCCAGGGAATTGATTTCGGCTACCAGAGCGCTTCGCTGGTTAAGCTTCAACAGCTCCTGCTCCGTGGACTGGCGCTGCGTTTGAATCTGCTGCAGTTTCTCAATCTCTCGCACCATGTCCGTTAGCTGTGGCAGCATTTCCAGCCTGGGTGAAATAAAAAAGGATATAATGAAATGTTCTGAACCAGCCAAAGGAGGCGTTTTTGTTTCCCTAACGGATAAAGAGCCGAATCGATGTGAGTCCGTAAGGACTTAAGATTCAAATATGGAATAAAATTGATTGTTCGTATCCTTGATTTAATCTATCTTCTTCTAGAACCTTCAGATTTATCCAAAATCGATAAATAGCGATTTATTGCATTTTTTTTTTAGATTTTAAGAACCAATACTATTCCTGAACAACGTTGGGGCTTATAGTCAGATGAATATGACATTGAACTATATACAAAAACTCAAGCATGAGGCTTCTGCTTGAAAAAGATATTTCTAATCTGTCTATCATATAAGAGTTTTCTTTAACTCTCTTTTAAGTACCCCTAGTAAATCGATAATTATCGATACATGGAGATGCAAGAAGATATCGAATTAAACAGACAAACTACATAGGATATGAGCGAATGTAAGCTTCCAGACTCGACTTGGCTTGTCACCTTAATCAGAAGTATATACATAATAAAGATACAACTATATACCCATCGTATACCCTATTTCAAGGGGAACAGCGTATAAAGACTGATTAACAGAGTTATCGGAAAGTAAATTACAAATACAAATAGTATAGATAATGTATTTATTGGCCTTGAAGAGACCCGGATCTTACACGATTACTCACTTGTACTTGGCCCAAAACTTTTGGCACTGTTTGAGCTTGCCCACAAAGTGTCGACGCTTGGCATCCCAGTCGTGCGACTTGTTCTTAGACTTGTCCTTCTTATGCAATTTCACCTCACCGGAACCGGCGGCACAGGCTGTGGCTGCGGCTGCGCCACAGGCAGAGGCAGCGACAACGGGCTTCGCATTGATGGCACGACGCAGTGCAGCCGCATCATCGTTGACCGTCCAATCGACCAACGGATCGTAGACGAAGGCCTCGAGCAGGGTGAGCAGCGTTTCGCGCTCCTTGCGCATCACCTTAAGCACATACTCGCAGCCCAGGCGGTAGGCGCCCTAAACAAAAAAACTTATATATATATATATGTATAAAAAACAAGGTGGATTATGAAATATGCTAGGGATCGTAAATTGATACCGATTCGCAGATGGACTCGTAAATAAAGTCACACAAATCGCGTTTATCGTTACGCGTATCTAAAAGATACAAATTGCACCCATTGACATAGTCGCTGTCGTAAAGCGACAGCCAAAACATTTTTATATAGACTCTTGTTACAACTGCTGATTTTATGATATGCTATATCTATATTTGTGTATATGGATATAAGTATATATATATATATATATATATATATATATATACATACATTGATACACAGATATGCACAGCTGTAGGGCGCCTGTAATCGTGGCTGACAATTGTTGATTGCAGCATTTGCTTTATTTCAACTTTGAAATTGTGCGTAATTTGTGGCTGTTTCTATGGCCCCACTTTGGGATGACCAAATGATTGGGTGTCATAAAAAATTGGAGGTGCAAATATACATAGCTCATACGACGCGTCCGCCAAAAGGCTAAATATCCGCACATGGGTTAACTGTTGAACATATTGTGAAATATGTTTGATTTGTTTGTTTATTTGCAAGCTAGTTTTAGCAGCTGGCAAATATTTGCCAGGTAGCTAGCCTTGAAATGTTTTTTGTGTGCCTTGTCAAATTTGTTTGCATTTCTCTTCTGTTAGCTGATTTGTCTGTCAATTTAGAAGCTGGTTAATCCAGCTGATAGTGTTTGTCAGCTAGCTGACATTGCGGCGTTGCCAGCTTAGATTATATGCAACATATGGCAACACCGGGCAATGTTTGCCAAGAGGTTTGAGGATTTCTAAAAATTAAACGAAATACGATACCCAACACAATTAAAACATTTCTTTGAGATGAAAATGAAAACAAAAACTACTTGTAAATGCATGGCAGGTTAAACTAGCTGCCTCCACTAAAGCATTTGGCAACTTAAGTTATAAGGAGGATAAATAACTTTAACTTATAAAATAGGTTTTACCTTAGAGCTTCAGTTATGTTTACAGTGCCTCCAAAGTTCATTTTATTCCAGTCAAAAAAAAAAAAAAAAACTTGCTAGAGAGCCAATAACTTAAAAATCGAACTGGCTGCCAACTAACATGAACTTTAACATGAGCTTGAGTAAAACAAAAAGAAAAGAAAAACCAGCCCAATTATACACAAATGTAAATGAATTAGCCGCAAAGCATTATCTAAATAAAATCATGTCATTTGATACCCTAATAGATGTAAGCTTCACGGCTCACCTAGGGTTAATTGTGAAGTGCTAAAAATACGTATATGAATACCTGTAGATATGGCAAACCTATTGAAATGTGTCAGCCATTAGATAGTTAATAATCATGTATATACCCCACCAGGTAGCAGGCACCGGGCAATATGGCAACCGAGCCGAACATTCAGTATGCCCTACAATAAAAAAAAAGTGTTGGACTCTGCGGGCTTCGGGAATACCACATTTGGCTGTAGGGTAGCTGAAAATGTGGTCGGGCTTATCAACGCGGATTGCGTTTCTCACGCTGGATCTGGTCGCCGTGTGTTATCAGTTGGCGCAGTGGATAATAGCGAACCGAAACGTAAACAAACGACGCCCACGAATTGCAATGGCTGAACAGCAAAGTCCTTGCCCCATGTGGTGCGGGCCCAGACCCGCTGGCAGATTGCTAAAAACTGGCGCTCAGTGCGTTTCGCAGTCGCGCTTCGTGTAGGGGACGTGATTTTACCAGCTGCTTTTGACGTTTATTTCTGGTGTGCGTGTGTGTGTGTGTGTGTGTGTGTGTGTGTGCAAGTGTGTTGTACGTGTGGGAGATTCCCGAAACGTCGTGTGGGTCGCGGTTTGTGGGTCGTGCGGTTGTCATGGCCAGCAAAGAGTACGAGAGCAGCGCACAGCTGCTCCACAATTGGCTAAGCCAGAATGCCAGCCTAACATTGTTAGGCATTAATGGTACACACCAATTGGAGGATACCTTAATAAATGCCACAACACCAGCTGATCTGCTCCAGGAGGAGGAACAACAGCAACAGCAACAGCAGCAGCAGCACATTGGCGTGGGCCTGTTGCTCTGGCTGATCATCAATGCCATCATCTTTGTTTTTATACTGGTCGGCAATGCACTCACAATTGTCGCGGTGCGCACCTGCCGGAATCTACGCTCGGTTATATCGAATATATTCATACTCTCATTGGCCATTTCTGATTTCATTGTGGGCATTGCATTGCCCTATCATGTGGTATTCTACATGGGCAACGGCTTGGATTTGGGCAGGCTGCGCGGCTTCTGCCTGTTCCGTTTCTTTCTCTTCATCTGCGCCTGCTGCGTCTCCATACTGACGCTCATCTCGATCGCCGTCGATCGCTACATTGCCGTCATGTACGCCCTGCACTATAGACGGTAAGTAGCAGAGGTTCAAGCCCCTCTTCCTCTTCATCCGTTCATATGATCAGAATCAACAGCCGAGCCAATCCAATCCAAGTAGTCTAGAATTTGTGTTTGGAGTGTGGACACTCGCATATAAAACTAATAAGTTCATCTTTTGATACGATAGCTTAACCAATTCTACAAGATCGATAAATATCGATTCTAGAATATTTAACTTTTGGAATTTGTTTACAAAACTGATAAATATCAATACTAAGCTCTGGCCTCTTAGCATATAAGAGCTGAAAACAACAAATAAGTAATAGCTTATCAAGAATATCTATCTTTTTGTAGCTCTCTCCTTATAGTTGTCACAAAATCGATCTTGGCATATAAGAATATGGAACATGGAATAACTAACCAAGCCCTTCTTCACTTTGCCTTCCCTTATCTCCTTCTGAAATTGCTTCCCCCAAATCGATAAAAAACCCAAAAATAGAATAAATAACCGAAAAATATATAACTTTTGATTTGCTTCTCAAATTGTATCTGGGCGGAATGAGGTTGATTTTCGGTATACTCATACAGGGCATCAATTAGCCCAGCACGCCCGATTGGAGCACTTTTAGTTGCCATTTACATTTAACTGCATTTCTTATCTTCCATATTCTGTTCTTATCGTGTTTTTTTTTTGCTTTTTTTTTGCGATTTATTTTATGTATTGAAGCCCACAGTTGTTTTATGTCTTCCTTTTTCCTAGTTTCCGACAGCTCTTCATTCTAGAAACGAGTAGGATAAATAAATGATGTGTTCCTTAAAGTCGTTCTATAGCCTTTGGAAGCATCTATTATATTTTTGCTAAATACTTTTTAAGTTGATTTCTTATCTGTTTATTGCCATATCAGCTTTTGAGCTGGAAACCAAGTACCTTCATTAATATGCCCCTGCTAATTGGGCCCATGACTAATCCATACCAAAACCCCAATCTCATTCAATTTTCCAGCTATATGACACGTCGCGTGGCCTACTTGATCATCACGTGCAACTGGTGTGTGGGCGCTCTGGTGGCGCTAATACCCATCTTTTGGAACAAATGGTCGGAGGCGCAGGGCTGTGAGTTTGACGAGGTGCTGCTGCCGTGGTATGTGGCTGGCATTATAACGCCCGGATTCGTTATTATCTGGATATGCATGCTGGTCTTCTATTGGCGCATTATGCGCGAGGCATCCAAGCAGGCGAAGCGGCTGCGCCAGTCTGTGGTCTACAACACGCACAGCAGCCACAGCATGCTGCATCCGGATTGGAAGAGCGTCCAGATTGTGGTCTTCATCATGGGCTGCTTTACACTCTGCTGGCTGCCCTATTTCTGTGTGGCAATTGCTCAGCTGTTCCGCGTTTGCCGCAGCAATTCGATGATCTACAAGGCGGCCTTCTCCCTGGCCATGGCCAACTCGGCACTCAATCCCATTATCTACTCATGGAAGAATGCCGGCTTTCGGAGGGCCTTTGCCAAAACACTGTGCTGCAAGTCCGCCAGCTGCTGTCACGTCGACGCCGATCTGGAGCTGCATTTGCCCTCGGAAAGCGTTAAGCAGCGCATCGATAGCAACAGCTATCCAGCGATAAAAGCTAACGAGCCTACAGAAAAAACCCTTAACTCAGTGCCAGGAAGCGCAATAAATCAATAAACCAAATGCAGAATGAATGGAAGCAATACTAGAACTGGAACAAAGATCTGGGTCTGCGATAAATTTCAGCATAGTGGGCGAGGAGCTCCAGTTCCAGTTTATTTTCATTTGACCCGACTCTAAGGGAAGTTGGGACATCAACTAGAAAGAGGGACGGCTTTTAACAATATATATGTTAACTCCAACCCAAGAAATTCCAATTAATGAAACGATCGAAATGCGAGAATTATGACAAATGTTATACCCACAACTTATTCGACTTCTAAATAAGTTGAAAATGAGTTATGGAAATTTAAAACCCAAGGCTAGGCGTCTCGATATACGAGAACTAAGTATAAACAAGTAAGAGGTTCTAGTCGGGAGCTCCCGACTAGGGGATACCCTGAACCCTCTTCTTCCAACATCAAATGCATATATATATATATTCTATTTTAGAAGCTACATATATGTCAAGTTTGGGGACTCTAGCTCTTATTTAAATACGAAAATTGCCCAAAAAACAGGATATCGATTTTTATCGATTGCTTGGAAACGGAGTAAGTTATCGATTATCGGAAACAAACTCGATCCGCGCAGGCTCTAGGAGCACCTAACTCTTATATGTTCTGAGATCCTTGCGTTCATACATATATATACATACGGACGGACGGACGGACAGACGGACATGGCTAGATCGACTCGGCTATAGATGCTCATCAAGAATATATATACTTTATGGGGTCGGAGATGCTTCCTTCTGCCTGTTACATACATTTGGATTTTGCACAAATACAATATACCCTTATACCCATTTTTAATGGGTTCAGGATATAAAAATATATCGCTTATGAGTTGATTGGTTTTCATTTTAATTAAACATTCGCAATCTAATGCGAGCGACAACACCTCCAGATGTTCTGTTCTCAGGAATAAATAAGTTCGTAGCAGAATATACTTACTAGTCTTCGGTACGTAAAACCACCTTCATTCATATGTAGGAAATCAGATAATTCAGGCGGAGTTTTTTGCACCATAACCATTTTCGAAAGGAACTTATATCCCAAGAGATCTCTGAGATCTACGATACAGCGATTCTTAGATCTAAGGGCCCAAGATCCTAAGACTGAGAACCCAAGACCTAAGGGTCAGATCTATGATTCTGCGAGACCAACTTCCTAAAAAATCGAAGATCTAAGATCCAAAAATCTCGAGTCCTAAGATCTAATATCCTAAGAACTTAGATACTAAGCTCTTTTCTATAAGAGCCAACATCATAAGTTCTCAGACCTCAACAGGTTGTTAGATCCTAAGACGTATTTTTTTAAGATGTTGAAATTCTAAGGAACCAAAGTCTCGTAATAATAATAGGAATCTGTTCACTCACCTCAATACCCGTTATTCCAAAGGCGTGAACCATATTCTGGGTAAGGCGGAAGGGCACACGCTCCGGTATGCGTAGGGTGCGACCCTTCTCAAAGCAGACGTTGTAGTCGATGTGGACGATATCGCCGCTGCTCAGATTGATGAGCACATTGTCCAGATGACGATCGCCCAGCCCGATGACGTAGCCAATGACAGACATGACGGCCATGGAGCTAGTATAGCGACGCACAGATTGACGCCATTCGGCGGCGCTGCCCGCATGACACCAAAGTTCGCGAGCAAGCAGATCCGGGGGCGTTTCCTGCGTTAGTTCGGCGAGCACTTGACGGAGCACCGAAAGCGGCCACTGGCGACGGGGATCGCTGACGAGCATATTATGCTTGGCCAGCAGCGGGGATAGCTTGTTGTAGAAGAGATCGGTTAGGCGGCGCGATGAGGCGGACGTCGGCGGTTGTGGCTGGCGTTGTTGCCATTTCTTGTACAATGCAAAAAGGGGCGTCACCCCATCAACCCAGCTGATCAGACCCGACTGTGGACCCAGCGGTATGACAGAGTAATGATGGGCGCGATAGCAACTGTGGGGCGTATCACTTTTGCTGGCCATAATAGCATTTGATATGGACAGAAACTGCATGATGCGCTCGTCCAGATGCAGATCCTCCAGGCCCTTAAACAGGAACGTATACTTCTGACCGTTGCTGCCATAGAAGGCAACCTTCTTGGGCTTCGTCTTGGTGGGCAGTATGCACACCGCACTCTCCACGCTCTCAATGTGAACCGGCTGCAGTTGATCTTGCGCATCCAGGCCAGGCATCGATATACGCATGCGTCCAATATCGCACAGCACAGGACTGATTGTCTGCATTTTAAGTGTGTTGCTCGTCCCGCGCAGCATGTTCGACTGAAGCACATGATACAGCTGCTTTAGCTTATCCCAGGCCTCCGGATAGGGACGATGACGCAGTGCGTCCAGTGTGCTCTTAATAGCTGCATCGAAACGCCGCTTAAAACTGCGCTCGTAGCTAGTCTCAGGCTCGCGCGCCGTAAACGCGACCAGGGCCTCCATATCGTTGAGCAACTGTGGTCGCCAACTGTTGAAGCGATTTTGTTTACCCTCATGATCGTCCGTCTTGAAGTCGCTGGCCAGACCATTGACACGGCCCACATAGCTGTTGTAGATGTGCGCCAGCGAGTGTATCCAATACTCATCCCACAGCAGGCAGACGCGACGCAGCTCCTTCACCAGCAACTGGACATGTTGCACCACCTCGGGCGATTGTTTGGTCAGAGCGGCCAGCAAAATGGCATAGCTGCAGCTGCCGGCTGCATTGACGCTTCCACAGCTATTGCTAATGGGCGTGGCCTGCAGCTCACGATTGGCGCCGACAACGGCCGGAAAGGTGACCAGCTGCGGTCGACTCTCCGCCAGACGGCAGAGCAGCGCACAAACGCTCTTCCTCACATACGGCTCATGATGATTGAGGCGGCTGAACAACTGCGGTATTATCACTTTCCATGGACCTATTGGCGTCGTCTTCAGGCCCTGCTCGAGCACATCCTGCAGCCCGCTGGCGTGCTTAACTATGAGGCGCAGCAGGCGCAGCGTTGTGGTCACCATATTGCTATCATCCACATGAAAACGCTGCTGTTGCTGGGATGGCTGGACCACATCCTGACTGTTGCCCGCCTTCAAGCTGAGGTAATGAAAGTATGAGCGTGCCGCCTCCTTATAATAGTCAAAGGTATTGGACATGGCGCGCCGCCAGATGCGCACAATGGACTCCAGCACGCTGGCTGGCTTGTCGGACAGCAGGGCGAGACGTCGCAGCCGCAGCTCACACTGTGCATCCGTTTGCAGCTCGTCCTGTTCACAACTGTTACCCGGCTGGGTCTCCATGCGCAGCGCCTGCAAAAGCTCTTGCAGCGTCTCACCATCCAGTGTTAGCTGATCGCCCAGCGCCTCGCCAATGGCGCTGATATCCGCCGGGCTGAGCACGGTGCCGTTGTCGACAATCTTCTTGCCCCAGCGATAGCACCAATTGCCATACGCAATAAGCGCCTCCTCGTTGTTGGGACGCTGCTGCAAGCTGGCATTGATCAGGCGCGCCACAAGCCGCTCGCCATGCGGCAAATTTGTCGTTGAGGCCGTGCAGCGCGTTAATGGACATTCCGGCAGCTGCTCCAGCAGCTGTTGCATGTTGGTCGACAGATTGGTGGTCAAGCCGCTGCAGCTGCGCGCCGTTATCCAATCGGAAAGAGTAAGCAGCAGCTCGGCACCCATATTGGACACCAGCTGCTGCTGCTGCTGCTGCTGCTGTTGTTTCTGCTTCTGTATATTTAGGCAGAGCGCAGCGCAGACATTGATGGAACTCAGTTCGCTGCACTGCAGCAGCTGCTGCTGCTGCTGCTGTTGCTGCAGATGCAGACACTTGGTCAGCTCGCTGTAGCCGCGCAGCAGTTGGGCATTGTTCGTGTCCAGCGACTGGCTGAGCAGCCGTCCAGCGATGTCCGTTAGCGGCTGGCCAAAGTACAGCTCGAGCATGGCCTGGCAGGTTAATTGGTTGCCCTCCTCACGCGCCACCATGCCCGTATCCAAATACAGTGTGCCCAAGCTATCGACGCTGCACTGACTGCGTAACAGCTGCGTCCAGGCCACGCAGCGCAACAATAAGCCGCTGGTTATGTTGTGATGATGCTGCTGCTGCTGCTCGTTGCCGCTGCTGTCCAGGGGCAACAGCATTAGCTGCTCCTGCTGGCCGCCTTGCCTTTGAGCAATGTGCTTCAGCAGCGTCAGATGCTGCCATTGCTGCTGATCGCAGCTGTAGTTGAGCAGGCATTCGCGCCAGTTGGTGTCCAGCAGCTGCTGCACTGGGCTGGACAGCTCGAATGGCTCATGCTCGCTGGCCAGTGACTGCTGCAGTACTATGTTCTCGAGTTTCTCGCGCACAAAGCCGGCCGAGAAGCTGGCATGCTGCTCATTGTCGCTGGGCCAAATGCTAAGATTGTGAAGCGCAGCGTTTAGTTCATCCGATGTTGACTCATTTTTGGCCAGCAACTGTTCCAGCACGCTCAGCTGCGTATTGCTCTTCTGCAGGAAGGGATTGAGCGATGCATTGTCCCCGGCACGCTTTAGCTGCGCCTTCAGCTCCACAGTCTGCGTCCACTGACCAGTGCTGTGCAGGCAATCGAAAAGCTGTGCCACCACAAACTGACGCGTATACGGCTCCAGTTCCGCGTCCTGCTCCTCATCCAGCACACTTCTGTAGCCGGCCAGTGCCAGCTCCTTGCGTCCGGCCGCCTGTTCGGCTGCATGCTGCAGCCACTTATAGCATTTATCGCTCTTCGAACGCGCCCACATGTACAGTCCACGCAGCGAATCCGATTCCCTGCAGCTGATGAAAGCCCAGGCCAAGTAGACGATCGCCTGGCTGTATGTGCAGTCCTGCGACTTTTGGGTTAGCAGAATTTGCTGTGCAGGGAGAGAAATTGGAAATGGGCGTTAGCTTGGCGTCATCGAAAGTTCAAAATCAGTTTTGGTCGGGCTTCTAATCGGTTTATAATTTCCTAAAATAAAATTGGTTAAGTCTTTGCTTGATGCCCAAATGAATCGTTCAATCGTTCATTTGAGCCGAATTGCGGTTTGAGCTACAATTCGTATTATCATTTCATATTCCTTTTACCAGTCGAAGCAAAAGCCGAGAGCTTCGATCTGGCAAAAGTCGAACTTGCAATCTCTCATACCAACAACCTTTAAACTAAGACACAGGTCGCAATGGCAACAAACAGAATGAAGTCTAGATCGACTCGGCTATTGAAACTGGACAATCGAGCAGTTGCCTCAATGTGTCATGGGAGAACTTTTTATAAGAGCATACAGACAATTGTCCAGTATTGTCTGCAATGTGTTATCAAAAATATTTCGATATGAATATAGTGGCAGAAGATGAGCTCACCTGGGCATATCGTATAACGAGCTCCGGCTGCTGGCTGTGCATGGCAATGATGACGACTCCGATGCGTATACGATTGAACCAGGACTGGCAGGTGGGATTGTTGAGGCGAAAGAAGGCGGCGACTGGCTTCTCAGGCGGGCGCAAAGCAAAGGCACTGCCCTCGGCCGCATTGTATATGAGCTTCTCGAGAGCGTCCAGAAATCCGAGCAGCATGCTCAAGTTTGCGCGCGTATTGGACAGCTGTTGCAGGGACATATCGTCGAATGTCTGACGTTCGCACTCCTTGGCACAGCCGGTGAGAAGGCGTGCATAGCGCATCACAATCGCCTCGAAGGCGAGAAACGTGTCCTGCGGCTTGCCCAGCGTGGTGCGCAGCTTCTGGTCCACACAGTAACGCGCCGCCTCAAACTGCAGCCAGGCGGCGGCCAAGCGCTGACAGCGACGCGTGCACTGCGTCAATTTCTCCTGGCGTTCATCCAACGTTGTCACCTGGCAGCTGCGCATGAACAGTTCACGCAGGCAGTCGGCAAACGGCTGCTGCTCCGGCGCCTGCAGACGCTCCACAAAATCCCGAAAGACCATGTCGCGCATAGCGCTGCACTGACTCAGCCGCTGCTGCCAGACGCAGACGTGACTGCTGCCAATGCCAGCGGTGATGCGTCGCTCAATGGTCAGGCTCAGCGGCAACTGGGCATAGATGTGTGCGTAGGCCGCATGGGCGCTGCTAGAGAGTGACTGCAGCTGCTGTAGAGCCGTATCACGATACAATTGCAACAGCTCCTGGCTCAGATTGGATGTGCCATAGCCAAGCACGGCTTGTATGCAGATGGCACTTTCCAGTGGCGCATATTTGGCTGCCGTGCTGGCAATGTGCTCGCAAATCCCAATGAAATCTGCATGCTGCAGCAATATGGACGAGCGTGTGCTGCACTCGCCCAGCAAGGATTTTGTCCAGCCAAGCAGCTGTTTAAGATTTAGTGGCGCCAGTTGAGCCGACTGCGCCAGACAATTAGCCAGAAACTTGAGTATGTGACCAAAACTGTGTGCCGTCGGCGATGTGGAGCTGGCGGAGTGGGCATTCTCGTTGTCGCCATCGCGCAGCAGTCTTGAATTGTTCCGAAAATTGTGATTCGCCTGGCAATGCACCACGAGCAGGCTAAGTATGGCATGATGAGTGGCCGCATGCTTTGACCACATGTTGAGCTCACGAGCGCGACAATTGCATATCAATAGCTCCAGTATAGATGGCTTGCAGGCATACATACCAATAATGGAGGATGTTTGCTTGGCCAATGCCGCCAAGGCGGCCAAATGAAAGATGAGCAAAATGTTGGCATCACTAGAATCAGACTGAGGTTCCGCCGTCTGTGCCAGGCGCAGCACACAGTTGTCCACGTCCTGCACGAGCTGCTTGTAGGCCTGCTGCAGCAGCGGCACATTCTTAATCAGCAGCGTCTCCTGGCAGGTGCGCAACAACAGCTTGTGCGCCGTGGTCTCGTTCTGCAGTCTGATATCCGCCAGAAATGGCTGCTGTGCAGCATCCGCCTGGAAGATCAGTTGCACCAGGGCGGCAGGCAAGCGTGTGCGCAGCTTGCGCACTGTGCACAACAACAGATACAGGCAGCTCAACTGCTGAGGTTCCGGCAAATGATGTATATGCTTGAACTGCATGTGAATTAGCTGACTTAAGGTGGCAGCTTCCGGTTCCTTATATCCATTCAGTAGGCAAATGCAGAAGAGTTCATTTATATTGATCAAAGCATCATCGCATTTGTCCGACAGCTGCAGCAAGTCGGGCATCATTTTGATGAGATGTGTTAGGGCCTGACCAACAATCGACTCGCACGTTATATGCATGCGGGTAAGGCACTTAAGTAGCGAATTAAAGGCGCCTATAAAGGCGCCAATGCGCTCGCTAAGGCGCTCAGTTGGGTCCAGTGCTGTTATATCCTCAATAAATTGGGCTAACAAGCCGTAGCTAAAGTCCAGTTGTTTGCTAAAGTACGGTGTTAGCTGCTCCAGCACGTAGGCACAGTGGGACTTGAGTTGCTTGGGCTGGCCAATCTCCAGTTGCCAGCCAATAATGATGTCCACCACATCCGTGAAATGGCACTCGAAGGCATCGCGATAATTGTGAGAGAATTGAACAATGCACGCGCTAATGCTCATAAAACTGTCGGGGCTCTCCGCGCCCTCCAGAAAGTCCTTAAGCATGAGCATTATCTTCTCCGAAAAAATGTGCAGATCGCATTTTGTGTCGCAGCTAAAAACAATGCCAAAACGTGGACGTGGTTGCGGGCAATTCGTGGACTCCAAGGACACTCACCTTAGCGTCGTGCGTAGCGCAACAATTAAATACTTTTGCAAGCGTTTATTTGTCCTATAGTTCGTCACAATGAACTCCTCGTAGATGGGATATGACATGCGATTAATATACCCAATCAGTCCAAGAGTTTTACTGCACTCGTCCAGCACCGGTGGCGGGCATTGCTTAAATAACGACAGCATCCCATCCAGTATGACATTAAAAGAGCGCGTGAGGTAGCCAACATTGATCGGAGTGCGTACGGCCATTTCCAGTTTGGCGCAGAGTTCAAGAGCAGCCGCTGGGCTAGTTTCGTTTTGCAGGCGACGCATAATTTTCGACATACGCAGGTCATCTGTGCCCAGTTTGCCATCACGATCATTGGCATTGGTGAATTGCACTGAAATATATGGGATTGTTTAGCTAGCTAAATAACAGTTGGGCACAGTTGCACTTACTCTTGCATTGATGCGATTTACGCGTAATGCCCTTTGTCATATCATTGTTTATATTACGCAGCACTGGGTTAGCATTAGCTGACGACGCCTGCATATCGTGTGCTTTTGACCACAACGTTGTTTCGTTGATATTAATGTTGTTGTTGTTATTGCTCCCATAGTGGTTGCTGCCGTCGCTTTTGTTGCTATTGTGGCCAGATACATCGGTTAACATCGATGCATCCTCGTCGGCGTTATTGCAATTATCCAGCGGTAAAGCGGCGCTTTTCATTGAAAGACCACCACGACTGGTGATCATATATATAAAATTTGCGCCACCGAATTGTTTTTGTTGTTTTTGGGTTTCACGTTCAGTTCATAGAGATGTCAATCATTGACAAGCAGTGTGTCCACACTTAAATCGCCGATATATCTTAAATAATGCTCAACACTCAAATATCGATGATTGTTCTTTGTGACTATCGATAACAGCACTGCACAAGCAAAGTTCGCGGTTATTTGAAAATATTTATAAACACAATTATAAGTGGAATAATAAAAATGGCTTACAATACTATAACTATAGACAAATTAAATCAGAATTTCTGAATAGAATAACTAATAATAATATTGCATATGCATATTGAGATTCTTCCTATTTTCCTGCTTAATAGGATAGTTGTTTAAAAAAAATGTTGGTTGAGTATTATTAACAACTTAACTAATTATATTTATAGCTTTAATTTTATTATTTAATAGATATATGGTTATACACGGTTAATATATGAATACTGAACTCTTTACACTTTTAGTTATTTCATTTTGCCCATCAAATGTTGAGTATAGGCTGCCACAAGGTTCGCCATCTCTGCGTACACTTGATAGGGATGCTTGGGCAGCGCTGCTGCTTGACAGTTAGCCTCGAATGCATAAGGTACGTCCAGTGGTATCGGATGGAGCTCAGGGGCCGGCGGTGGTTGCTCGTGTGCCACCAGCGATAGGCAAATGTCGCCTACCTGCAATTGTTGGCACTTTAATTCGTAAAGCTCGAACGACAATTGCGGATTGCAGGAGGCCCAGCCCTGACCGTAGACAAACAGCGGATGCGCCGATGCCACCTCCATGTGAACCTGAAACATCAACTCTCATTAATGAACCCAACTCTCAATAGCACTGCACTGAAATGCACCCACCTTCAAATGCTGCGTATCATAGCTAAAGGTTATATTGTTGATATGCGTTGATGTTCTGTCAATTTTAACGACCGTCGCCTCCTTCAGGTCAAAGTGCTGGCTGCGCAGTGCCGACTGAATGAAGTCCTCGGTGCGTAGATCCTCCACGCGACGCAATACACCTGTTGACAGCTCGATGCAAGTGCCCCGTCGAAAGCAGGCGCTCGCCTCACTGTTTGGATTGCTGCAATTGAATTGAATTTAACGATTAATTGTGATGCAAATTTCTTGAAATACAGCCCAATTGCTCTTCACATTTTGAATGGATGCTGGCTGATTTCCTGCTGCATGATGCGTAGATGAGACGACCTGTTCGCTCCAGTTGCGATTGAAGACTGTTCAGCTGAGAGCGGATTTCATGTCGCTTTTTGCCACTCAATTCATTCAATTGAACGCGGTGCTTTCCATGGGCTTTCCAGGAATGTCACCCACTCATGACCATTGCCCATGCCACTGGTTACCTGACCCACCGCACCTATGCCGTCCGACAAATAATCTGCTCGTAGCAACAGGTACGCGACAATGGGCACTGTTTTTCAATTTAACGCCGAGCACCGCCCGTGGTGCTACCTAGGTTTCCGCTTAACAGCCATTGTATTGACTCGCCCAGCGGCAGTCGACAGTCGGCGCCGATTTGGCTGTTGCGCCAGGCGCCTTCTCACACACACGCACACTACAAACACACTCACAAACAGCAAATGCGTTTTAACAAGAATGTACATACATATTTATTTGGTTTTGCGTTTTCTTTTGGTCGCTGAGGATTTGATTTGAGTAACGCGCCGCTTGCCAAAGCTCGGCCACTTCAAGTCCATGGCGTAGATATAGTAGCGTACATAGAAATAGAGCACGCCCAATCCAGAATACACAGAGGTAAGCAGCAGCGGCATGAATGGGAATAGCGAATGCAGGCCCAACAAACGACTGACAATATGCTCATAGATGGGAATGGTTATGAAGCCCAGAAAGTAGATCCATTCGAGTAGATGAAAGTTTGGTTTGCACTTATATACGCGTTCAAGCTGGCCGTACATCATGGCCATGTAGGTCATGTACAGGGAGTAACGCGGCACGAGCAGATCGACCTCGAAGAGCAGGGGAAACAGCGAGTAGTACCCAGCGACGGCCAAGATGTATGCAAATCTGGCATCCCGACGATCCAGCAAGGCAAGCAGGCTGCATGTGTGAGAGGTTTTTAATTAAAGAGTTGCGTAAATTTTTAAACTGCATCCTTCACACTCACCACAATGGTATCAGGCACATAAGTATGGCCTTCTCATGGACGTGCCAGCCAAACATGAACGAGGAGCAGGAGCAAAGTACCACGGCACGCATAAACAGCAGCCTGGCTTGTCTGGCAATAAAATGACAATTAGTTAATGAAGTAGTTAATGCATACAAAACGTGCTTACTCTCTGCTGCGCGTCATATAGAGCTTAATCAGGATGGGCAGCATAAATAGGAATGTGAGCGCAAAGGTAATGGACGGTGTTATTGTGGGCAGTACTATGTGTTGCACCTCCTGCACCAGGCCGGAGGTGGTCGAGGTGGCCTCAGATTCGGTCGTGCGTTTCAAGGCAACCACAGCCACCTTATCGGCAGCATTATAGAGCGCCCAAATATTGGGCGCCCAGTAGGCGTGGGTAAGTCCGCGCTTAAACGGAAACAGGCGAGACATCAGCTGTGGCAATTGGTGCCAGAAGGGGCCAAAGGACAGCACGAATGGTACAAGGCCCACAGCAAGCAGCCTAAGCGTATTTTGCCCAAAATTGCCCTGAGCCAGGCAATAAAATTTCAATAGATAAACACCAAAGGCGGGCGCCATATAAAGGAATATATGCTTGAAGTTCAGCAGGACGGCGAATGCAAAGGCGCTCCAGAGATAGCGTTGTCGGAGCAGTGCACTTATGCTCAGTAGCAGTATGCCAAACAGGAATCCATTGTACTGAAAGTGTATGTGATCCACGAATATGAGACCCACATTCAGGAAGAGTAGCATGCAGCCGGCTATGTGTTTCTGGGTGGATGGCACAATGCCCAGGGCGGCCATGCAGCAGCGTACGCCCAGCATATATATCAGATCCATGATAATCACCGAAATGCGCTGGAAATGCACCGTCCTCACCGAGGCATAATTCAAATTCTGTACGATCAGCATATTGGGATCAACATATTTGGCCACCTGTGAGAGCAGCCATTCAAAATAGGCAAAGAAGGGCGGATAGTCCAGGGTCCATTCGCTGGTCGCGTCCAAATACCATCGATTCAACGGTAAACTGTGCGTTATGGCCAGCCAATTGCGATGCACCTCAAAATCAGTGGAGTAGCTGAAATGACAATTTGATTGAATAGGTGGTAATGTCTACACATGCCGGCCGGCTGGCCGGCCGGTAAATCTATAATATTGTTGTTACTCACTAAGCGGGCAACAGCAGCACTTTAATTGCACAGCTTATGCCGACCAATTGCCAAAAGTAGCCCCTCATAATGTGCCTGCTGCTGATGATATCAGCTGGCGAAGCATCTAAAGCTTTTTATTTTCTTATTTTTCAATAGCACGCACGTTATCGTTACTAGAGATGGCACTGTTTTAAAATATCGACTGTCACTTAAATGCCGGCTACTAGTGTGACCCACCTATCCATCTTGAGTATATATTTTGGTATTTTTTAGCGTCAATTGGTGGGACACTTGTAACGATTTGTTTACCCCGTGCACGGGCGGCACGTGTATTTAAAAATGGAAAACGTTACCGAGGCTCTGTTTATCAGCACATTAAACAATGAGCGTGCATCCTGTTTCGTACAGGATCTGCGCACTGGCACCGACCTGATGCGTTACAAAGGCGGTGGCTCAATGCAGTCTCACAGCCTGCAAATGCTCGAGGAGCACTTTGTTATTGCGGCAAACAGCACGAAGCCCCTGCTGCATGTGTGGCCCATCAATAGCCAGGAACCGATGTCAAATGTACGATACGTTGTGCCAGGCAAGGTGAATGCATTGGCACTGTCTCCAGACAGTGCCTTTCTTATAGCTGGCATACAGGAGACCATCTACGTTTGGCACCTCAACTCCGGCCGCCTGCTCAATACGCTCTCCAAGCATTACCAGCCCATCACCTGTATACGTTTTACGGACAATGGCGAGCACTTTGCCACTGCCGGCAAGGATGGTGCTGTGCTTGTCTGGAATCTTACACGTGCTGTTGCTCCCCTGGGCGGTGTTGACAGTGAAGAGAATGCACCCTTTTACAATTTCAATGATCACGGGCTGGCGGTTACCGATGTCCATATTGGACTTGGTGGCATTCGTGCCTTCATGTACACCGTCTCATTGGACCGCTGCTGCAAGGTTTACGATCTGAGCGATGGCACAATGCTATTGAGCGTCGTGTTTCCAGTTGCCCTGCACAGCGTCACTGTCAACAGGATGGAGACCAGCGTCTATGTGGGCACCAGTGAGGGTCAGATACTTATTTTCAGCATGGAAAATGTGCCACGCATGAAGGTACCAAGCGAATCTTTAAGCTGTTAACAATTAGTGTCTTACCAACTGGTTTGTCTCAAATTCACAGGAATACCATCTCGAAGAGGAGGAAAGCCAAGCCTTTGTTGGACACACAGCCGGCACACCTATTACATGCTTGGCTCTGGCGGTGAATGGAAATCAGTTGATTTCCGGTGGTGAGGATAAACAAGTGTGTATCTGGGATGTTGGTAGCCGGCAGCTGGTGAAGAGCATTTCCCAGCCCGGTGCCATTACAAATCTGCACGTCCGTCTCATCGGCAACGCCATGTTTCATCCAGGTCCTAAGGTGCATAAGCCATTTGCCGACAATCTCAAGCGAATGATCAGTCCGGATGATGATGATGAATGCATTGAGCTGCTCATCACAGAAGAGTATTCGAATGCCCCAAAGTTTCCACAGGCAAACCTTGATAAAAGCTATGATGGCAGCGATGGAAATGCTGATTTTAAGGTTGTGACCCTTCCAGACGACTACGAAGATGTGATTAGCGAGACGGAGGCTGATGACGCGGAAAATTCAGCCAGCGATGCGGAAGATTCAACTGATGATGATGAAGAAATGCCCGATGCTGATGCAGCCCGCAATTCCAAGTCCATGCTCGCGGAGCTCGAGAAATTACGTGCAGAAAATGCACAACTCAAACTGGAAGCAAAACGGTTAATGGACTTAAAGATAAATAGCATTGCAGGCAATACACAAAGTGCGAAAACGTCAAAGAAGAACAAAAGAGCTCGCAAAAACTAGGCCTTAAAGATATTTTGGTTAACAATTATATTATGATGTTTTTTTTTTTAAACAATAAATGTGTAAAGAAACAAATTGCTATTCATAGCAAAAGGAGAAAAAACGTCCAAACTGTGCATTTTAATTTGCATTTGCGCTGGGTTCATTCTTAGTATCCGGCTGTTCCACCATGTCATCATTTCCGTCGTCATTTTCCTCTTCTGAGGAAGCATTGTCTTTATCCTGAGCCAGCTGACGTCGGATTTCGCGATTGGAGTCCAAAAGCTCGCGTAGCTGTGACAAAATGTCATCGGTGCGCTGCTCCACAACGTCCAAGACACAGCTTAGAGCGTCTAGACTCTGGTTCACATCCTCCATCTCTGCAAATAGCAAACGGCGTCATTTAAGAAAAACGCACATATGCACACGAATGCATATGATATTACCTTGCAGATCGGCCTCCTGCACATTTGTGTTGCCCGACTCGCCGGAGGACGTCGGATCGTGGTTATTCCTCGGAGACATCGTTGCTGCTAAGACATGGCGTCAGCTGACATTTGCTTAATTGCGCGAACGAGCACGGGCGTAGACATAACTACAACAAAGGGGTGAATTTTGTTTCCTTACAATTTCATGATTACTAATTTATAACAAAAATATAAAAAAAAATATCTATAAAAAATAGGTTTGTAGATTTTAAGGGGGAGAAACTGGACAAATCATTTGGGCCCCTTCTTAAACATTAACTACGCCCATGTTTAGGGATGACTTACATTTCGATACATTTATCGACAGTTTGAGCTAGTGCTGATTTTCAGCTGCAACACTTGTGCTTACATTTTACAACACTGGCAGTCAGCCGGCGGCCATAATAATAATAAAAACATTCTGGTGATTGTTGCATAAAATTCATATTGAACATTTTTACCTGCTACGTAAGTAATGAAGTCATTGCGGCAAAGAAGCACGTTCCTATTATCAATGACTGGTGGCATTCGCAGTTGCGGAGACACGCAAAGAGTACAAAATAGCCTGTGTGTGTTGGCTTTTTGTGTACGTGCCGTGCCGCACGGCCAGTTGAATTCCTTAGTTAATTTAACCTAAAGTTAAT